GTTGACAAGTTGCATGTTTTTCGCTACGTGCTTTGAATGTTTGTGTGGAGTTAAACAATCACGTACAGTCTAATGGCGAGAGAGTGAAAATCGCTGGACAATATACTAAACAACAGCTGTAAGATGATGTGGGTAGATATGCATGGATGGTAAGGTGATTTTGGTAGATATGTATGGATAGGAAGGTGATGTGGGTAGATATGTATGGATAGTAAGGTGATGTGGGTAGATATGTCGGTTCATATGCATGGATAGTAAGGTGATGTGGGTAGATATGTATGGATAGGAAGGTGATGTGGGTAGATATGTATGGATAGTAAGGTGATGTGGGTAGATATGTCGGTTCATATGCATGGATAGTAAGGTGATGTGGGTAGATATGTATGGATAGGAAGGTGATGTGGGTAGATATGTATGGATAGGAAGGTGATGTGGGTAGATATGTATGGGTAGTAAGGTGATGTGGGTAGATATGTATGGGTAGTAAGGTGATGTGGGTAGATATGTATGGGTAGTAAGGTGATGTGGGTAGACATGTATGGGTAGTAAGGTGATGTGGGTAGATATGTATGGGTAGGAAGGTGATGTGGGTAGATATGTATGGATAGGAAGGTGATGTGGGTAGATATGTATGGATAGTAAGGTGATGTGGATAGATATATCGGTTCATATGCATGGATAGTAAGGTGATGTGGGTAGATATGTATGGATAGGAAGGTGATGTGGGTAGATATGTATGGATAGGAAGGTGATGTGGGTAGATATGTATGGGTAGTAAGGTGATGTTGGTAGATATGTATGGGTAGTAAGGTGATGTGGGTAGATATGTATGGATAGTAAGGTGATGTGGGCAGATATGTATGGGTAGGAAGGTGATGTGGGTAGATATGTATGGATGGTAAGGTGATGTGGGTAGATATGTAGGGGTAGTAAGGTGATGTGGGTAGATATGTATGGATAGTAAGGTGATGTGGGTAGATATGTATGGATAGTAAGGTGATGTGGGTAGATATGCATTGGTGGTAAGGTGATGTGGATGGATATGTATAGATAGTAAAGTGATGTGGGTAGAAATGTATGGATAGTAAGGTGATGTGGGTAGATATGCATGGATAGTAAGGTGATGTGGATAGATATGTATGGATGGTTACAATGAAGCAGTCATGCGGACAAGATTGATAGTAATTATCCAATAGATGGTTTTAAGAATATACATGTATAGGAGTGACGAACAGGTTGAAACGTGAGGTGACAGAAACTTCGAGGCTCGCCCCTCTCCATACATGTTATATTTATGACAAAATATTTCAAGTAACAACGTAATAAATGTTTAAAACTACATCGCTATTTGTAGACAACAATTATAGGGGCTAGGATTTGGGTTGGTTGTCGGTAGGAATTCAAGTCCACCTCTAGTTACTGGCACAATAGTAATTAGACAGCACCAACATATCAAATTAAAACCTACACAGAAATCTATTTTATAGCCCCAGATACCTTCTTGTCGCTAATGTATATAAATCATGCACAAATCAGTCAGTTAATGGCCACCGCCGCGGGTGTTAAATGGCGATGCAGCTGTGTCTGAGGGGCCTTGTCACTAGCCAGGGCATATTGTACATGGATAATTAGATTAGAATATAATTTTATCATAGTCGTTGTTAATTCATTCGACTTGAGAAAGAAAATACAACTATGATGTAATGATTTAGATACTTTATGTAATTACATTTCACATACAAAAGTAGAGCTTTTTTTTGCTTTGAAGATTAAGTAAACTCTTACTATACGCTTTTCTAATGTGATACTTTAGAATCTTGCAGTCTGATTTGTATCAAGCCGATAAAATGAAATCATTTGGTTATTTCCAAACCTTCATTATTTAGTTCACTATGGATATGTAACGCGTTGGTCTTGTTTTAATTTATGACATGGTTTTAAACACGTTATTTTCTGCGAAGATTGCTGACCGACAACCCTGTTAGCCTCGGTGTGGTGTTGTACCCCGTGACACTGATGCATGCGCTAGCATGTGCACTCCATGACATTAGTAACGCTGTGAGGTGTGGGCTGTGGAGGGGACCTCATCACCACCTGATGGATCACTCTCTCTCTCTCTCTGTCACTCTCTCTGTGTCTCTGTGTGTGTGTCTCGCTCTCTCTATCTCTCTCTCTGTGTGTCTGTACCTGGGTTCACATTCCTGGGTCCACATTCCTGGGTTCACATTCCTGGGTCCACATTCCTGGGTTCACATTCCTGGGTCCACATTCCTTGGTTCACATTCCTGGGTCCCTGGGTCCACATTCCTGGGTTCACATTCCTGGGTTCACATTCCTGGGTCCACATTCCTGGTTTCACATTCCTGGGTCCACATTCCTGGGTTCACATTCCTGGATCCACATTCCTGGGTTCACATTCCTGGGTCCACATTCCTGGGTTCACTTTCCTGGGTTCACATTCCTGGGTTCACATTCCTGGATCGAAATTCCTGGGTCCACATTCCTGGGTTCACATTCCTGGGTCCACATTCCTGGGTCCACATTCTTGGGTCCACATTCCTGGGTTCACATTCATAATATAGAAGTCACGTTATTCAAGTGCAATATTCACAGTATTCATATTTTACCACACTCTTGAAGACACAGTATTCAAATATCAGTATGAAAGTCACAGTATTGAAACATGGAGTTTTAGAACATGAACATGAATACATGAACATGGCACATGAACACAAGAACACATGATACTGGTAACAAGTGTGTTGAACAACCTCTATGTAACAGATGGTACTGTTGAACCACCTATATGTTGTCACATAATAATTCAGGTCAGAGGCTGATTTTAGACAATATTCATTTGGTTGTATTTACTATAAAAAAATATGGTTAACTGGGTTCTTTTTTGGCCACAAGATGCAGAAATTCTGTGATATGCTGTAAAACAGACTATGAATGTTGAATAGAACTATTGAGTATATGTTGTTTCTTGGTACCCTCTGGAAGCATTGTGACTCAACAAACACATTCTTGTGAATGTGGAAATGTATTTTTTGAATATGTTGAAGGGACTGTGTAGTCACGTGGAAAATATTATTAAAAAAGTGTGTGTAACACTTTAATGGCTGCTTCTCGTCCCTTCTCATTTTTATGTATTCATTAAAGGAGTTGTCATCCATAAAACAGTTTCATGTGTGCGTGAGACTCTCACAGTCGTTGTCCTACGATGACATATTCATTTGAAAGTGTCGCTGTTTTTTCGTGTGTTTTTTTTATGGTTTTCCGTTTTGTGGATTTCCACATGTAGCATTTTCGTCGTCACCCAACAACGCCCCACACTCGCCCAATGACGTTTCACTCTCACCCAACAACGCCCCATTCTCGGCTCAGAACGCCCCGTCCTTACCCAACAACGCCCCCTACTCACCCAACAACGCCCAACACTCACCAAACAACTTCCCACTCTCGGCTCATAACGCCCCGTCCTTACCCAACAACGCCATAAACTCACCGAGTGACGTGTCACACTCACCCAATAACGTCCCGTCCTCACCAAACAACGCCCCACACACCCAGTGACGTTTCAAACTCACCCCATAACGCCCCGTCCTCACCCAACAACGCCCCACACACCCAGTGACGTTTCACTCTCAGCCCATAACGCCCCCTACTCACCCAACAACGCCATATACTCACCGAGTGACGTGTCACACTCACCCAATAACGTCCCGTCCTCACCAAACAACGCCCCACACACCCAGTGACGTTTCACACTCACCCCATAACGCCCCCTACTCACCAAACAACGCCCCACACACCCAGTGACGTTTCACACTCAGCCCATAACGCCCCCTACTCACCCAACAACGCCCAACACACCCAGTGACGTTTCACACTCACCCCATAACGCCCCGTCCTCACCCAACAACGCCATATACTCACCGAGTGACGTTTCACTCTCACCCCATAACGCCCCGTCCTCACCCAACAACGCCCCAAACACCCAGTGACGTTTCACTCTCACCCCATAACGCCCCGTCCTCATCCAACAACGCCCCAAACACCCAGTGACGTTTCACTCTCACCCCATAACGCCCCGTCCTCACCCAACAACGCTACACACACCCAGTGACGTTTCACTCTCACCCCATAACGCCCCGTCCTCACCCAACAACGCCCCAAACACCCAGGGACGTTTCACTCTCACCCCATAACGCCCCGTCCTCACCCAACAACGCCCCAAACACCCAGGGACGTTTCACTCTCACCCCATAACGCCCCGTCCTCACCCAACAACGCCCCAAACACCCAGGGACGTTTCACTCTCACCCCATAACGCCCCGTCCTCACCCAACAACGCTACACACACCCAGCAGCGACCCACTCTCAAATAACAAGGTCCCATCCTCACCCCATCCCCGGCTTTCGAACCCGACAGAACAGGGTTGTCGAAGAGGAGTCTGATAGTGTTTGATCTCATCTGAGATATTAAACAGCTAAAAAGTTGAAACTATGAGTATGACAGCTCCTTGATTGACGTCTTCCGACACAACGAGCTGGTTTGTCTCCTCGCATGAGAAATGTTACCACGCTATCCTTGATATGTCAGTCAATACTCACAATTGACTCTTTAGGGACAATTTTCACTTTATCTTCAGACATGTGTGGGCGTTTTTTTGTCATAACCTGACAAATCTGTGTTTTATCCTAAAACACCCTAAGGCAGTAAGGTCAGAATGTACCTAACGTTTTCAGATGACTCATCTTGAGACGTTCTTTTGATACTTTGTTTATTGTTCCTGTCATATAATGTCAGGATAAAAACTCAACATAGTATTAGTTAAACCCCAGATATAGCTTATCCTGGCCCAGTGTCAGTAATCAGTTAATACCTAACTTATATCACGTGTCAACATGCCTCCACAAACAACGTGTTCCCACAATTTCGTATGAATCTACACACATTATTTGTATGAATATTATTATGTTTTGCTTCTTTCCAGCGAGCATCACCCCGTTACAAGCCGTGCCGAGATTTTCCCCTCCCCCCAAGCGGGTAGTTCAGCAGCAGGTGCCCGTTATATGCAGGGATGGGTGGACCCCAGCTGTGGCAGAGAATCTAGACGGTGGACCTTCTGCATATATTTGCATACAGACAAACAGAAAGTCGTTACCATGGAAACAGTCACGTGATATCTGCAGGTCCAATGAAGCGTTTTTATTAAAGCTTGACAAGCGTGTGAGGATTGGCTCCCAGACTTTGGAAGAATTCATTACTGACCAAAGTACGTGGCTAAAAATATTTAAAAAACTATAAATTGAAAAAAAAAGTCATAATGTATTAATCATAAGATGTTAATGCACTGGATTATAAGTGTTGTTTGGTGTTGAGCCGTGAGTGAGTGTGTTGGGTTTTACAGTATTCAAGTTATGTCAAGACGAGTCAGTTTGATGTGGGAGGAAAGCCCGAAGTGATGATGGTCTTATATATATAGTGACTGAGTGAGTTGGGTTTAACGCCGCTTTGAACAGTATTCCGGTTATATCACGGCGTGTAAGCTTCAAGTGATGCAGGTCTTAGACGTTTACCACTTTGGTGAAACCCACGAGCACGGGTATGGTGCTGACAAAACTAGAAACATAATCGGGGCGAACCGGGAATTCGAACCTGCAATCATAGGTTTCTGGCGTGTCCAAGGGACGCAACTCTGCACAGCGAATTAGGCGACTGGGCCAGCAATGCCCCCTCATTATCGTATTGCCCATCTCCGCACTGAAAGCACCTGGGTTTTTTCATGAAACGTACGTATATTTCCTTTGGATAGATTTGAACACCTTCTGGACGGGTCTACATGAAGAAGAGACAAAGTTTGTCTGGGATGAACTGAATCCGTCACTAGTACATTCATATGCTGGGTATGTACATTGTTCCATTTGAGATATACAAACTATTTATTACAAAGTCAAACAAACGATATGCCCTTTGTGTAGCTACAATAACGAAGGAAGGTTTTGTTGTGTGATCGTACAAGATCATGTTATGTTAAATTGGAGGACCTTATTTCCCAGGTCTCGCTGCACATCGTTTTAGCGATCTAGCTCCCCTATACTTATGTGTGTGTGTGTTGTGTTATGTTATGTTCTGGAATGGTACGGTACAGGCGGCCTATTGACAAAGCCTCGATACACTAGGTTGACTGACGCCGTGCAGGTCCCCGATTTCAGACTGAAAAACCCCTTTTGCCAAGTATCGTAGAGTTATCAAAACATGCATTTCGGGTGATAGAGGTACCGAACGCTTGGTCGGTCGTTCGAGATAGGACCCCACACTCGCAATAACTTGCATGATGGCATGCCGATTTAGCCTATATCTGGATATAAGCTGCGTGTCATCTAGCGTGTCCAGCTGACTCGTCCTGTCACGGAATATTTTCTTCCTGGAAGGTGTTAGGGTTGATTGCTTTTCTCTATCGAGAAGCCCGAGCAATAGGTAGGACGCCATGATGGATACCTAAGACAGGTTTACGACAGGTCAGACCCTGTCTTATTTTTTGTCTTAAACTTAAGATAGCTTAGCGCTAAGACAGCTTCGAGAATAGACTTAACTAAGACGTTTTTCGCTACGACATATTTACGCCAATCTTAGCGCTAAGACAGCTTCGTGAATAGGCCGCCAGTATGTTACCTAGCGTTACCTTACGTTACGTTAAATATGTTTCAGCCCCCATGCAGGTTATGGCAAAATCAAACGAGGTTGGCGATGGAACACGGACTCATTTGATGACGTCACTGGAAAGTGTGGAGTTATCTCCCTTAACCATACACTGTCGAGACGGAAGAGGGCGAGCAATAGCGATTACGATGACTACATGCTAGCACATCATAATGTCGACCTTGACCTTCCTGACTCGGCACCATCTGGTTTCCGTTACCCTGGCCTTCATCGCCCCCCAGCCACTGACCCCAGCAGCAAAGAGCTGTTACCATTCTTCCTTGACGGTCTGAACAACGGCGACATTGATCAGTTCCTAGTGACCGATGCTCCCAACTTGACCACCGTCACAGACAGTTCAAGCGAAGAGGACAGCAATGACTCGGAAGATGCTCAGAGAGTGAAAAGGAGTACTATGACAAAGATTGATGTGACTGAATTTCCCCGGTCATCTGATGATGACCAGGCAGACACGACAACGTCAACGACAGTTAAACCGAGTACAGATACGTCATCAACCAAAACAACAGATGTGACGACAACGACCCCCTCCACTACATCTACATCCTCTGTACCAACTACTGAACACACGGCAAGCGGACAGTTCACAAGCACTGAGGTTACCGCTGGGTCAACGTCGCTTCCAAACCACATCAACACGACATCGACCGTCACTGCATCTAAAGCCTTTCCTACGTCAACGACTACGACTACTGAGTTACCTTTGCTACCCACGTCATCATCGTCACAGACGACTTCATCTTCAACAGAAACGCCTTCGGTTCAAACAACCACCACGACGTCAACAACAACTACATCGGGGACTTCATCGGCTTTCTCCTCGTCATCATCCGTTAAACCATCTACACACCTACCATCAACTACATCACAACCATCTATTCCGCGGTCAACTTTCCAAACGCCACCTACAGCAGTGACACCCTCAACACAACCATCAACTGTAAAAACTACAGCGTCCTCGAAAATGCCGACAACATCAACTACCCAGACTCCATCGACTACAACACTCGAGACAATGCAAAATATCGAAATAACCCGGGATGCAGTTCACTCCGCCACACCTTTCCCTCTCGGCACGAGTGACGTAACCCTCCCTTCATCTCCAGCAGCAGCATCAATAACATCAACTATAGCAGCAACATCAACATCAACCACGGCAGCAACAACAACTACAGCAGCAACATCAACAACATCAACCACGGCAGCAACAACAACATCAACTACAGCAGCAACATCAACAACATCAACCACAGCAGCAACAACATCAACAGCTACAGCCGCAACATTAACTACGGCAGCAGCAACATCAACATCAACTACAGTAAAATCTTCTGGAACCATTACAACAGAAACTGAAAAAGTAACGCCACCCACAACAAACGGTTTCTCTAAGACTGAAACAACCACTACACTTCCCCCTTCACCCTCGCCACCTCCAACAACAACAACAACATCGACCACAACAAGTGCTCCAGTGACACCTGAGACGCTTATGGGACACACTGAAAGATTAACATCCAGCGTTGGACGTCCGCCGGCTGGTCAGGCGGTCCAGTACATGAGCATGGACGTCTGTGACAGCCCACACTCCTCCGTCTGCTACTCCGAGCCCATCAACGCCCTCCAGCAAGGTCAGTACATGGAAACCAGACGCTTCATATTTACAGGACTAGCAAGGTCAAGGGTGTATCTGGACATCTGTCTTTGTCAGATGCACCGTACAGGGTCATTGGCGAGTTCGCCAGTGTTCGCTGGTAAGGGCGTTAGGTTTTACATGATCTTGTTTTCCTAAAGGGGAACCAGGTCAAGGTCAGTTTACGGTCCTTGCATTTCTCTAATCAGGCCATTCAAACAACACATTACCTGTCAGTTTACATACTGTTAGTCACCACAGATTACCGTTATTTCTTAACGCCTGACCCAGATCATGATTTAACCGATCTTTTAATATTAGAAGATAATCAATATGAGATCACTAAAAACAAAATCAAGAACGAAGTGTGGTTTATTTAAGAAATAAACGACGAATGGGTTTTTTTAATTGTACAATAAAACTGTAGGGAGAAAAAACTATTCTTTATTTTCATCATCCTGAAGTGTTATATTGTACGATAAACAGCGATCTTATATGAGATATCAACATTATTTACAGCCTTGTTAAATATGATGATAAATGTACAAGCTTTAAAAGTATTCCCCGTATTGTAATAATGATGACTCCGTGAATAGAATCCGACCTTGGCAATGTCCATTTTATGCACAGATGTATATTTGTCCCATAGTCTCACAATTTTCACGTCTGTTACCTGCACCTCTTGTCCCAATACCGATTGGCATATATATCTCTTCCGCTTTTGGATGCAATCGTTCGGCCATCGCGTTTATCTGCGATGCCCAGCCTATACTAAAGCGGAACAACTCACCAGACACTCCCCTCTCACAAATACCGTAGTCCAATATACGACGTCATCAAGTTGCGAGCGATAAACCACCATTCGCTCTTCATTGTTCTTTGCGATTTTTCGCGTAGCTGTCTTATATAAGAGGGACGGTCGGGTAGCCCAGTGGTTAAAGTGTTCGCTAATCAATCCGAAGACCCGGGTTCGATTCCCGACATGGGTACAATGTTTAAAGCCCATTTCTGGTGTCCTCCGCCGTGATATTGCTGGAAAATTGCTAAAAACGGCGTAAAATCATACTCGCCCACTCACTCATATAAGATAATAGTTTCTTCCAATTATTGATGTAATTGTGTTATTTTGGAACATTCTGAATTTTAAATTTGAGACTCACAGTACAGAACAACTTTTTCAGTATCTTTCTGTGGATTTGGCTGGGTTGGACATCCCTTTGTCGACAAATGCTACAAGGTGCTGACCTTTCCACTGAATCACTTCCGGGCCAAGGCGAGCTGTATTGACGAGGGTGGGACAATGGCGGCCATTGATTCAGATTTCTATGGCAACCTGACCGGTCTGGCCTATATCCAACTACGGAACAAGAATACTGCAGGTAAAGTCCTTAGCCGTCAGCAGGTTGTGTATGGGTATTTGCACGGGTTGAAATAGACATACAAATACTTATCTAAATACTTTCACCTACTGCTTAAATAATATCATTAATTAAGAAGATACCTTAATACTTCATAATGTAAGTGTATATAACTATATATATCCACATACATGTATTACTATATATATTAGGGGGCACGGGTGGCCCAGTCGTCTAAGGCGCCACAATTCGCTCTGCAGAGTTGCGTCCCTTGGACACGCCAGAAACCTATGATCATTGGTTCGAATCCCGGTTCGCCCCGATTATGTTTCTAGGTTTGTCAGCACCATCCCCGTGCTCGTGGGTTTCACCGAAGTGGAAAACGTCTGAGACCTGCATCACTTCGGACTTACCTCCCACATTAAGTTGACACGCCGCGATATAACTGTAATACTGTTAAAAGCGGCGTTAAACCCAACTCACTCACTGTATATATACAATCTCATTAAAATCAGATCTTAGTTCTCGCTACCGCTAAACGAAGATCTGAGGACATCCCATTACGGGTCACGTCAGACCGACGATGCGCGAACTTTGACCGACCAATGGAATGACAAGAAGTCGACATTAGCCAATCAGAAGGCAGCTTTCTCGTGTTTTACGGCACTAATTTCATATTGGCGACTACGCTTCGAAGCATATTTTGACAAATTCTCGATATTAAAAATTTGAAACCTGAACAAAAGGACATTCTGGAGTGGCTAATAGATGGTCTAGATTGTATGGATTCAGTCGTTAAGCCCGTAACTATCCTTCGGAATACTCGTATTAAAGTTTTCGAGGTTGCATGATCAGAAATCACATTCCGACTGTCACTTTCATGATCTGGTAAGCGACGGTCTCATTGGTCGGATGTAAGGTCGTTCTGACGTGACCTCCAATGGGATGTCTTCAGATCTTTGTTTAGCGGTAGCGAGAACTAAGATCTGATTTTAATGAGATTGTATATATATATATATATATATATAAGGCAGAGGGGCGTGTGGCGGGGGGACTTGCAGGCAGATGTGCTACACCCTTGACCCATCATACCCCTCATCACCCAAACACCCTTTGGGTCCACTTCTACTATGATATCACTGTTTGTATGTGTAGTTCCCCCTAGAGTGTGGGTGGACGTCAACGGGCGGGACAAGATCACCCTCACCGGCGGATGCCCCGCCCTTCACCATCTTGACGTCGTTCAGCTGGCGTGTGAGAAGCTCATGTTCAGTGTGTGCGAGAAACCAGCCTCTGTCAGAAGTAAGTTTTGCAACAAATCATGTGGTGTATAACCCGCCCCTATTTTAGGAACTGCATTGTGTGTTGTCTTCAACTAATTATTTTGTAATGTTAATCCTGCTGTATGAAGAGTAAACATTGGAAAAAAACCGTCAGCTGAAATGCTTTATTGTAAAGACTTGTGTTGGTGACCTTTAGGACGTTTTAGCCAAATAATTTCCACTGATATACACTACTGCCTAGAAGTTCATTCCCCTTACACGCATGGGCACCGCGTTACGCAACCCGTGTGCACCCCGTAGGTCACTCGTGTGGAACCCGTCCGCCACGCGTGTGATACCCGTGTGCACATATGTGTACATTCTCACTGAATTATCCTTTAATTCCTGTTATCTATATATTATGTTATCTAACATGGGAAATATTTCAATTAACAAGGATTCTATTTATCTGTTTCTGGGATAATTTGCACCAGAAGGAACACGTGTAGTTATCAGCGGTACAATAATTGCACAAGTGGGTCCTGGTCTTAAGTGGTGTTGTGGCGATTTAAACTGCCGGGGAAAAAGTTTTCACGTGAAAATTGTGACGTTATCGAAACGTTACTAGGCTGAAAACAGTCGCAAACGTAAAGACAGATCACAACTATCATACTCATACTAAATACATCACCATCGATTAACCATTTCTTGTTAGTTTCTTTTTAAAAATGTGCGAAAGAATATATGTACACAAAAGTAATATATAATAAGTAATAAGTAATAAGTAATAAGTAATTCTCTGAGTGCTTAATTTTCTTTTCTGTTGTAGGTTTTGATAATCCTATATCATCGTCCCTCATGAACCAGAAAAAGTTGCTGCGCATGCTCTCCACGCAGCAGCAGTCAATTATTTGCCCTGTCCAAACCTCCACGCCAGAAGAGCACGTCCTGTGGTTCAAAGATGGCGTCCGCGTCCAAACCTCCTCAGATGTCCATCTACAACAAACCTTCAACAATGTTCCAATTCAACGTAAGGTGTTATATTGGAAACTTTTTCAAGAAAACTATTTAGCTCTTGATAGGGATACTGTTCCAAAACCCAGAGCTGACGCCGATGGTGAATATGCCTCAGTTCCTCAGGCAGTATCGAATAATATTCATATGACAACATATCCAAGCAATCCGTCACATTTAGTCCTGTTCCACAGGACGCCCAGGTTATCCCTATTCTTTGTAACATACAGCTTAAACTTATGCGATGATCCAAATCATGTTATATGATGAGTGAGTGACTGGGTGAGTGAATATGTTTTGACGTCGCAGTTAGCAATATTCCAGCAATATCACTGCGGGGGACACCAGAAATGGGCTTCACACATTGTCGGGAATCGAACCCGGGTGTTCGGCGTGACGAGCGAACGCTTTAACCACTAGGCTACCACACCGCCCCTGTTATATGACGATCAAACTGCAGTATATACAGGAGCTCGTTTCACAATGCGATTTCAGCGTTGTGACTGTCTGAAGTCTATATTAAAGTATGGGAGTTACCTTCATCATTGCGCAAAGTCTCTTCCTGGAGACCGCCTCCGTGGTCTTGTGGTAGAGCGTCCGCCCGGAGAGCGGAAGGTCCAGGGTTCGATCCCGGGCCGCGTCATACAAAAAGACGTTAAAAGATTGTACTTGTTGTTACCCTGTCTGGCGCTCGGCATTAAGGGGCTAAAACAAGGACTGGTCGGCTCGGAGTCAGTATACTGTGTCTGAGTGGGATATTCATGTTAAACTGCGGCATGGTATCTCAGTGAGCTAGCACTATAAATCGGCATCAGTCCGGACTAGTACAAGCAGCCACACACACACATACACGTGCATGCACGTCGCTATATAAGTGCAATAATCTTGGACGCGACGTTAAACCCAATTTCACCTCACCTCACCTCTTCCTGGAACGAGCGCCACCTGTTGGAGAACATCAGTTGCAACAATCAAATAGTCCCATTTCTCATGTCCTTGCATAAAGAGGGGGTTTATCCTAACATCGGTTTTTATCTATATTTGTTGAAATAAATATATAAAATGTTTGTGACATTTCAGAGAGAGCCAGGACCCTACATCTGGGTCTGCCCCTGCTGCGGCGCCTGAGTGAGAGTGGAGGAGTGATGCACCCCTCCCGTCTCCAGGGCAACTACTGGTGCGAAGTGTGGAAACTCAACCCCCTGCGAAAGGTCAAGTCGGCCAAGTTCCTGGTCGTCTTCACAGGTAACTGCTGCTCTACAATGTATACTAGTATCGTCACTGCTACTTCTAACACTGTTCTACTACTATTTGCATCAATTACGCTATCACTACCACCCCCATTACCACTGCAATGCTGCTACCATCACCTCTACCACCACTACCAAGACAACCAGCATCACCACCACTACTATTACTACTACCACTATTAATAGTACTACTGCCATCACTACCACCTCTACTACTATTACGATTGCTACTGCCATCACTACCACCTCCACTACTATTAATATTACTACTGCCATCATTTCCACCTCTACTATTATTAATATAACTACTGCCATCACTACCACCTCCACTACTATTAATATAACTACTGCTATCTCTACCACCTCTACTATTATTAATAGTACTACTGCCATCACTACCACCTCTACTGTTATTAATATTACTACTGCCATCACTACCACTTCTACTACTATTACGATTGCTACTATTGATATTACTACTGCCATCACTACCACCTCTACTACTATTAATATTACTACTGCCATCACTACCGACTCCACTACTATTAATATTACTACTGCCATCACTACCACCTCTACTATTATTGATATTACTACTGCCATCACTACCACCTCTACTACTATTACGATTGCTATTATTAATAGTACTACTGCCATCACTACCACCTCTACTACTATTACGATTGCTACTATTAATATTACTACTGCCATCACTACCACCTCTACTACTATTACGATTGCTGCTATTAATATTACTACTGCCATCACTACCACCTCTACTACTATTACGATTGCTACTATTAATAGTACTACTGCCATCACTACCACCTCTACTACTATTAATATTACTACTGCCATCACTACCACCTCTACTATTATTGATATTACTACTGCCATCACTACCACCTCTACTACTATTACGATTGCTACTATTAATAGTACTACTGCCATCACTACCACCTCCACTACTATTACGATTGCTACTATTAATAGTACTACTGCCATCACTACCACCTCTACTACTATTACGATTGCTACTATTAATAGTACTACTGCCATCACTACAACCTCTACTACTATTAATATTACTACTTCCATCACTACCACCTCTACTATTATTGATATTACTACTGCCATCACTACCACCTCTACTACTATTACGATTGCTATTATTAATAGTACTACTGCCATCACTACCACCTCTACTACTATTACGATTGCTACTATTAATATTACTACTGCCATCACTACCACCTCTACTACTATTACGATTGCTGCTATTAATATTACTACTGCCATCACTACCACCTCTACTACTATTACGATTGCTACTATTAATAGTACTACTGCCATCACTACCACCTCTACTACTATTAATATTACTACTGCCATCACTACCACCTCTACTATTATTGATATTACTACTGCCATCACTACCACCTCTACTACTATTACGATTGCTACTATTAATAGTACTACTGCCATCACTACCACCTCCACTACTATTACGATTGCTACTATTAATAGTACTACTGCCATCACTACCACCTCTACTACTATTACGATTGCTACTATTAATAGTACTACTGCCATCACTACCACCTCTACTACTATTACGATTGCTACTATTAATAGTACTACTGCCATCACTACAACCTCTACTACTATTAATATTTCTACTGCCATCACTACCACCTCTACTATTATTGATATTACTACTGCCATCACTACCACCTCTACTACTATTACGATTGCTACTATTAATAGTACTACTGCCATCACTACCACCTCTACTACTATTACGATTGCTACTATTAATAGTACTACTGCCATCACTACAACCTCTACTACTATTAATATTACTACTGCCATCACTACCACCTCTACTATTATTGATATTACTACTGCCATCACTACCACCTCTACTACTATTACGATTGCTATTATTAATAGTACTACTGCCATCACTACCACCTCTACTACTATTACGATTGCTACTATTAATATTACTACTGCCATCACTACCACCTCTACTACTATTACGATTGCTGCTATTAATATTACTACTGCCATCACTACCACCTCTACTACTATTACGATTGCTACTATTAATAGTACTACTGCCATCACTACCACCTCTACTACTATTAATATTACTACTGCCATCACTACCACCTCTACTATTATTGATATTACTACTGCCATCACTACCACCTCTACTACTATTACGATTGCTACTATTAATAGTACTACTGCCATCACTACCACCTCCACTACTATTACGATTGCTACTATTAATAGTACTACTGCCATCACTACCACCTCTACTACTATTACGATTGCTACTATTAATATTACTACTGCCATCACTACCACTTCTACTACTATTACGATTGCTACTATTAATATTACTACTGCCATCACTACCACCTCTACTACTATTACGATTGCTACTATTAATAGTACTACTGCCATCACTACCACCTCTACTACTATTAATATTACTACTGCCATCACTACCACCTCTACTATTATTGATATTACTACTGCCATCACTACCACCTCTACTACTATTACGATTGCTACTATTAATAGTACTACTGCCATCACTACCACCTCTACTACTATTACGATTGCTACTATTAATATTACTACTGCCATCACTACCACCTCTGCTACTATTACGATTGCTACTATTAATATTACTACTGCCATCACTACCACCTCTACTACTATTACGATTGCTACTATTAATATTACTACTGCCATCACTACCACCTCTACTACTATTACGATTGCTACTATTAATATTACTACTGCCATCACTACCACCTCTTCTATGAGCACTACCACCGCTTCTTCCATCCGTCTGTCCGAAATATTTTCGAGTTGTCTTCTATTGAACACCAACTGATTACCCACAAATCGAGATCTGTGATGCAGCTGACTTTGGTGGCCGACTTTTGTAAAATATCGAGTCTGCCGACCTTTGTTAAAGATCGAGTTGGCCGACTTTTGTAAAAGATCGAGTTGGCCGACCTTTGTTAAAGATCGAGTTGGCCGACCTTTGTTAAAGATCGAGTTGGTCGACGTTTGTGTAAGATCATGTTGGCCGACCTTTGTTAAAGATCGAGTTGGCTGACTTTTGTATAAGATCGAGTTGGCCGACTTTTGTATAAGATCGATTTGGCCGACTTTTGTTAAAGATCGAGTTGGCCGACCTTTGTAAAAGATCGAGTTGGCCGACCTTTGTAAAAGATCGAGTTGGCCGACCTTTGTTAAAGATCGAGTTGGCCGACTTTTGTTAAAGATCGAGTTGGCCGACCTTTGTAAAAGATCGAGTTGGCCGACCTTTGTAAAAGATCGAGTTGGCCGACCTTTGTTAAAGATCGAGTTGGCCGACCTTTGTTAAAGATCGAGTTGGCCGACCTTTGTTAAAGATCGAGTTGGCCGACCTTTGTTAAAGATCGAGTTGGCCGACCTTTGTTAAAGATCGAGTTGACCGACCTTTATTAAAGATCGAGTTGACCGTCCTTTGTTAAAGATCGAGTTGACCGACCTTTGTTAAAGATCGAGTTGGCCGACCTTTGTTAAAGATCGAGTTGGCCGACCTTTGTTAAAGATCGAGTTGGCCGACCTTTGTTAAAGATCGAGTTGACCGTCCTTTGTTAAAGATCGAGTTGACCGACCTTTGTAAAAGATCGAGTTGGCCGACCTTTGTTAAAGATCGAGTTGGCCGACCTTTGTTAAAGAACGAGTTGGCCGACCTTTGTTAAAGATCGAGTTGGCCGACCTCTGTTAAAGATCGAGTTGGCCGACCTTTGTCAAAGATCGAGATCATCAGAACCAATGAAAGGAAATACTCATGAGTAATGTTTGCAAAATCTGAAATGTTCTAGATACAAGAACACCTTTGTGTATTGCCTCAGTTATGACAGCTTGTCATGTAACGTTTTTAAATAATTGACAGCTGCAATTTATCACAACAGCTTTCCCGTTTCATTGTCCAATTAACCAATTAATCAAAATGCAGGAATCACTTGTGCTTCGTATTATTATGTTTTCTGGAGGGCAAATGTTTCATTTTTTTTTACTTGACTCATTTTGAAGCAAAGGAAAGCTGGTAATGATATGAAGCCCTCTCTCAACCTGAATAGTTTCCAATATTGGTCACGTAGATCATAAGTAAGAAATATACAGTGTGTAGAGCCTGAGTAGATTGATCTTTTACTCGATAGATTGGATAGATACATATTTTGCTTTCCAGATACACTTTATTACATTTATGTATCATTTAAAAAAGGAAGAAGCTTCACTATTTGTAGATTCTTTTTAAAATGTAGTAAACAGTGATCTTCTTACATAAACTGTATTACTCCCCCCAATTTGAAGCCTTAACGTTTCTGAAACGTTCTTAGTTCTTAATAATGTGTTTAATTTCTCATTCTCAACATTAACATGCAGGCGTCCTTGGTGCTTTATAATGACAGGTATTTCTGAAGTACAACTGTTTCATTTACCCTTTTTTTGCACGAACCTACGGGTAGCCCAGTGGTTAAAGCGTTCGCTAGTCACGCCGAAGACCCGGGTTCGATTCCCGACATGGGTACAATGTGTGAAGCCCATTTCTGGTGTCCCCCGCCGTGATATTTTCTTGTACCTGTTGATAGAAGACCAAGATTATGTGTACATTGGTTTATTGTTTTGTCTTATTTCAACTTCGTCGTCGTGTGTTCCCATTGTTTTGACCGATACTACTGTATTACAACTCGCACGACTACTGCTACTGCTGTGATGTTCCAACCTCTGTATCCTCATCTCCTCTAGACGTCATCACCCTCCATGGCACCCTGCAGACACGCGGCGTCCCAACCAACACCTCCGTCGTCTTCAACTACATGGACCGGGCCGTCGACGTCCCTCTTAACGTGGCCAACTATCTCGCCATCATCAACGACAACATCACCAGATCCATGAGAATGGTGGAGCCAGGACTCAGAGACATCGCCAGCTACGTTCATCATATTGAGTAGGTTGTCGTATACTCTCATATGTAGTCACAAACAGACACGAGCAGTCATACTGTCCATACAGTCACCCAGGGTCATTTGTCATAAAGCTGACTTGATTGATGCATGTCATCGATCCCAATTGCGTGGATCGATGCTTATGATGTCAATCACTGGATTGTCTGGTCCAGACTCGATTATTTACAGACCGCCGTCATATGGCTGGAATATTGCTGAGTGCGGCGTTAAACAACAAACAAACAAACAAACAAAAACATTTGTCATATAATGGGTAGGTTTCTCGGCAGGATAAAGCCAACGAATAAAAACGATATCTGTTGGGGTCATATGCGGATAGAGATGCAAATATCAAAGGTCAAGTAGGGCTGTTTACAAACAAACATGGCGTCGCCCTTGTCATTCGGGGACAGGGTCAGAATTAACCATCGGCTTGCAAAATACAACCAAGGCTCGCAAAATATTGTTTATTCCTAATACAGGATATTTACCATCCCAATCACACTCGCGTGATAACCTCTATATGGTCATGTACAATTATGTACAATCATGTACACCCAGAGACATATGCAGTCATACGCAGTCATGCACAATATCTAGCAGTGCATCAAATAAATCACTACTAGTGAAAATGACTTGAATATGAAGAAAACTTTTAAATTTTCATGTTAATTCCATTTAAATTTGTTGTTGTTTTGGTGTTTTTTTTAAAAAAAGCACTGTTTGTGAGGAGCTGGAAGGTTTACAGTCACATTACCATCTCTTCCTACCTGGTACCCATTCACTACTGGGTAAAAAGCCTTATTCGAAGAAGGTCACTTTGCAAAAGTGACCACATGTGCTACATTCGACCATTTGCGATATCTGTCCTTTTATTTGTTTGGTCACGTGAATCATGTCTTGATCACTTTCAGCTCAGACACAGGGGTCATTGACTTCTTCATACAGCTGTCCTTGGTCAGGAACATGCCCGAGAACTACAAGGACAGAGTTGTCTCCCATTATCTGACGACTCTTCACTCCGTTTTGGTACCATTGTCACGTGATATCAGCCAACACTGGAACCTGTCTCTACCCGTTACAGATGCGATCAATCTGACACGGACAGGTGATTTAATCAAAATATTCCATGACCTACCAGATTTATAGATGATCGTGTTTATTTCATCTAACTTCGCATTATTGTGGGCGGTCGGGTAGCCTAGTGGTTAAAGCGTTCGCTCGTCACGCCGAAGACCCGGGTTCAATTCCCCACATGGGTACAATGTGTGAAGCCAATTTCTGGTGTCCCCCGCCGTGATATTGCTGGAATATTGCTAAAAGCGGCGTAAAACAATACTCACTCACTCACATTATTGATATTTGCATGAGCGATTACCAGGATTGAACATGTCCACTTTGTCTGATCTCGGGATGAGATAAATGTGTTATTTGACAGAAGACAAATATTCTATTTATTACGTATTTTCCTACTGATCTTCACTGTCTTTTCTGGAAACAATAGTGTCATTGGGACAGACCGAAAGTAGTTCGGGCAAAAGTGAAAGTAAATACAATTTCACAGGAGTGAGAAATTGATTTGATGTTTTCATATGAATACAGTACTTGATTACTTGAGTAGTAAGTGAGTGAGTGAGAGTGATTTTACGCCGCTTTAAGCAATATTCCAGCAATATCACACCTGGGGACACCAGAAATGGGCTTCACACATTATACCCATGTGGGGAATCGAACCGGGGCCTTCGGCGTGACGAGCGAACGCTTTAACCACTAGGCTACCCGACCGCCTATGATCACTTGGTACATAACACAATATGATATACATCTTCATTACTGAAACACAGATGAGATTGCAGCATCTCGCTATGTAGAGCTAGCCATGACAGGATCCTCAGATCGTGCGTTCGAATGTTCAAACTCTTCCAGAACAGACGCAATGCCAATCTCATTAAAATCAGATCGAAGTTCTCGCTGCCGCTAAACAAAGATGTGAGGACATCCCATTACGGGTCACGTCAGAACGACCTTCCGCGAACTTTGACCGACCACTAAAATGACTAACAAGAAGTCATTCGTCACCACTCGCCCCTTTCCGTAACCTGCAAGACGACTCATCCCCCTATCGATGAATGTTATGTGCCAAAATACGACAAACCAATCAGAATGCGAGTATGATTTCAAGTACTTCGTCAAAGAATCCCTCACAAATAAGTTTTAATTTTACATCTAAAAATATACCCAAGTCACAGTTTAATGTGTTCAATCATACTGTATAATTCCGCACGCTCCGGTGTGATTTAAATTGCATCTGAAACATATATAATAAATGGGGAAATATATGTGAAACATTACGCAACGAGTTGACAATTGTTTTAGGTATGCCCGTTTGCCCTAAGACGGAACCCGGTCGCAAAAATGGCCATGAGAGGGGCACGAATGACAAGAAGTCGACATCAGCCAATTAGAAAGCAGCTTTCTCGAGCTTTACGGCACTCGTTTCAACCTGGCGACTTCCATTTCAGACTACGCTTGAAAATTTGTTGACACAGTTCTCGATTAAAATTTTAAAAATCTGAACACACGAACATTCCGAAAGGTCTAATATATGGTTGAGATTATATGGCAGTGCTTCCAACGTACTGTGCAACTCCTCATCCGTTCAAATGTTTATCCCACGGAAGCGAGAGATAGACGATAATTTTGACAGAATCAGTCGTACGGGCCGTAACTGTCGTTCGGAATACGTTTTCGAAGTTGCATGGTTAGAAAACACATTCTGACTGTCACTTTCATGATCTGGTAAGCGACGCTTTGATTGGTCGGATGAAAGGTCGTTCTGACGTGACCCGTAATGGGATGTCCTCAGATCTTTGTTTAGCGATAGTGAGAACTAAGATCTGATTTTAATGAGTGAGTGAGTGAGTCGCGTTTAACGCCGCTTTAAACATTATTCCAGTAACTGTTATATCACGGCGTGTCATCTTAATGTGGGAGGAAAGCCAGAAGTGATGCAGGTCTCAGACGTTTACCACTTCGGTGAAACCCACGAGCACGGGTATGGTGCTGACAAACCTAGAGACATAATCGGGTCGAACCAGGATTCGAACCCACAATCATAGGTTTCTGGCGTGTCCAGGGGATGCAACTCTGCAGAGCGAATCGCGGCGCCTTAGACGACTGGGCCACCCGTGCCCCCTGATTTTAATGAGATTGATGCAATGCAAACTACTGAACATATGATATTACTTATATTGGCACGGCTATATGTGACATATCAGTATTCTCCCTGAGTATACGCATGTTTACTTCATGCTGATTGGTTATTACGTTCTTATTGTTTTATTAATTTGGCTTGCAAAGAGACCCACATCAAAATAAGCTTCCAACTATAAGCTAACTGAGCTGATATATCCAATTCAGATCAAGAAACCATGTTTTAAACATTTCCTTAATAAAAATAAGACGAATATAAAAAGAATAACCTACTCGCAACTCGGAATAACGGCTGATCTGCCCTTCATGATCATGAATTAATGTTTAAAGTTCCTCGTCAAATAATTTACTGGTGACATATAGTCCGTAATTCACCCCTCGCACGGTATTTTCTGAGGTAATACTAGAAGTTATTAAGTTAATCCAGTATAAAGGCCATAGGCCTAAGTACAATATAGATACATGTATTATATACAAAGTGGTGGTACAATAACACGAGTTACGGATCGCAGTTAAAATACAAATTAGAATTATAATAATGAAGAACGTAAAGATATCTTTCATGTATTTAGCACATAATGACAAGGTTTCAATGTTAGAAGTTTATAGTAAAGTTCTGAGGGATTTTTAAAGTTAATGTTTGGAAAATATGTCTGTCTTAGGCTACATAACTTGGGCCTACTAACAAAATGTAACTCATCTTCCATAATATTTTTTTCAAAAAGGATAAAATCTAAGGTTTTTACCTACACCCTCCCGCTTACCTATATTTTTCATAATTCGTAATTCTCAAATTCTTAATAATGTTAAATAATGTTTAAAATTGTCAAACCCATGATCTCCCAGCTGATGAGACAACACATACATGATGGTCATTCTACATTTATAGACTTTTGCCCGCCCGCCTACCTCGAAGACAGCAGGACAGGGTTTGGTGCCCAGTTCCCCAAGACCGCCATCGGAAACAACGTGGACAGCATTGAACTTTGTGGTAGGCGATGTTGTATTGTCTCACAGTCATTTTGACACGATTCTTCTTATTATTTTGACCTACTTTTGGCATACAATATATTCTTACTATGTTTACTTACTGTCATCCCTGAAGATCCGCATTAGAATAGCAACCATTACCACCGTCACAACCACTACTACCACCACCATTTTGAGCGACTTACCCATTCTAGCTTTTGAAGAAAACAATGACACTGCATTTAGAATTTGATTTCCTTGACGCATACGTATGTCCTAGTACTGTGTTCAAATGATGGCTGTATCCCCCAGACGGTGTTGCTGTCGGCTATGCGAACTGCCAGGGCGACTACGAAACCGGGGCTCATTGGGAGAACTGGCAGATCGACACTGATTGTCACAGTTCCTCTGCTAGCACACTTCCGGTCACAGATTCTGATGACCTTCTACGCAACCGGAAGCCCAACAACACTGAACCAGCAGCTTTTAGAATACCGGGTGCACACTTACCCCATTTTCAGTTGATGCCTTCAAAAGATCTGGCACATTTGGACGAGGTGAGATTTGGAAACAATTTTGCATCAGACCCAGGACTTCAATGACGAGAAACAACATTGTATTGTCTGTTTTACTCCAGTTGGTTTATATAATCGATTACATTTATTGGGTAGAGAATTAGTTTCTATTTCCAAAATGGTTCGGAAGGTATGTCAGAGTGTAAAAGGCTCCCAGCATCCCATGTTTTGTATTATGTACAGCATGCCGTAATATAACTGGAATACTGCTGACGGTCACAATAGGGTACTGACCACAATGTCCAGAACACTATGGAGAAATCTGTAGGTTTAAGATTTGAGAATTTCTAGCATTGATTCCGGTCCGACAACTATATGTAATAACTATAATATTTCCTAGATTGAAATAGAAGATGGCAACGTAAGGGATGTCACGGACAAGATGGCGGAGATTCTGGATAAAACGTCAGGATTAACCGATGCCGATATTGACACATGTGCCGAGGTCATTGGCCGCATAGTGAAGGTCACATCACCGTCGGCTAGCCAGGTAACTTCCGTTGTAATGCAATAGTTTCAATATGCTGTTCATGTTTGCGGGCATTATCAGGAAGATCCACTAATTTGCTCCCTCCGTGAAGGACGCATATATACAGAGAATTGGTCTTATCGTCTAGGCAATTCTAGGTATCCCAATGTTCTTGTTGTTTCAGATGGGTCTCCAGCTTCTTCACACAGTCAACAGGATCCTAGATGCTGACACTGCCGCCATTAGAAATGCACAGCTCAAGTCTCGGGCTGCCACTAGGTAAATGACGTTTATCTAACGCTAAATCATTTGTACAATGATAACTGACGGTTTTCCAAAATAATAATTCCGGCGATAAAATGTTTTGAAATATCCTTTGTTCCATAATTGGATGAAATACGAAACTGTCAGTTTAATTAAAAGCCTTAATGTATATGTGATTGATGCCCAAACAATTTGATAGATAAAATAAGTTGATTTTGCGGAAAGAACTTCAACAAAACAATACCAACGAAAGTAGTACAGACTTGTGCCGATCTTTATCCCTTCAATCTTCAGGGGGCGGTCGGGTAACCTAGTGATTAAAGCGTTGGCTCGTCACGCCGAAGACCCGGGTTCGATTCCCGACATGGGTACAATGTGTAAAGCCCATTTCTGGTGTCCCCCGCCATGATATTGCTGGAATATTGCTAAAAGCGGCGTAAAACCATACTCACTCACTCAATCTTCAGGGAAAGATCTACTCCATATAATTGATGTAGAGATCTATAGCAATAAGCTGATTTGCAAGAACATATTGAACTCATCAATCGTATTTCCTATTATCGCATTCCTTTTTGGTGGAAGTAATATATGATGTACTCTAAGGTTTGTATTTAAACATGAAGCGTTCAGGAGCAGTTGTTTCTAAACTCAGGATCGTCGAGAACCTGGAGAAATTCAGCATGAAGACTGACATCGGCGCCGCCAAGCACATGCGCCTGGTGACACCTAATGTTGCCATGGAGGTGTGGAACCTGGACGCCGGGATGGATCCTGTTATCGGCCTCGGAGCCAGTATGGGGGGCAGCTGGAGCTCCCCTCTCACCAACCCACGCATACTCACCATCCGAGACCGCTTGGACAGCAGTCTGGCTGAATTTGACGTGGCCATTGAACTGCCCCAGGAACTCGTCGTCAAGAGCATGCACGGTAGGCGGCCGCCCGTCGTCACATGGATGGGATTAGGATATAAACGCAGTGTATAAAATTCCCCCAAATTTCAGTCAGGAAACTGGACTGGGAACATTGCAAAGGTACCAGACCAGACAAATTGTTGCCAGTCCAGAAGATTCTAGACTAACGAACAAAAGTGACAAAAGGGTAGAGATAAGAATAGTACTGTTTAATGTTTGTTCTCAGAAAATAGCAATATAGTGGTGGTTTGCCATCTTAGTTACTTCAACTCCCAAACATTGGGCGTGCAAGTTTTCAAAACTGACCGTCCGTCTGCAAAACAGGCCGTCTCGAACTGTCGGGCAGGCGGGTATTTTAGACACAGATAAACACAAATCACTCACGCGAAAGAAACCTTTGTTTTTTAAAGTATGCAAAACCTCTGACATTAATGAATACATGTACATATCTAAATATCGATGAACTGCACTTCATACCAATTATCCCACCCTTTGGTGACCAGGGTTAAAATAGGTCCCCAATAACCCATCGCTGGTCGTTAGAGGCGACACAATTGGATTGAGTGGTCAGGCTGTGTCACTTAGTTGACTGTGTGTCATCGTGCTCATGGTTTGTCCGGTCCAGACTCGATTATTAACAGGGCGTCGTGATATAGCTGGAATACAGCTGACCACGTCCTGAACCATTATTCAAAACCGACGCCGAAAAAAATCATTTGTCCCTATCAGTACCATCGGCATAATTTGAGTAAATAGAATTTGCTGAACGCTCTATCAACAATTCCGCATCTAAATCTATAGAAACCGGACACTGACTAATTCGGATGCAATACTGGACAACATTTACGGTCCTTCAAACCTCATCTTTATATCGCCTTTTTCTCTTGACCTCCTGCTGTAAGCTCAGTAGTCACTTAATTCAGTCATATAGAAGTCCAATTTAAAAAGATTACGCTGTTGAGATATATTTTGCCGAAATTATTTGTCCTCTCACCAGATGTATGATGTTTTTTTATAGGGGAGAGCAACACAACGCGCCTCTCCATGCTCATCTATCGGAAGACGGGTCTCTTTACCCCGGGCGTCAATTCCACTCTGGGTCTCGTCAACAGTGCAATCATTTCCGCTACACTGGGAGGCAAGAAGATCGTGGGGCTTCACAACATGATCCGGATGGCTTTTAGACCGTTTGTTGTAAGTACATATTTATAGCTAACCCTGCATGAATAATTATCGAAATATTGCTGTTGTACTGAAATACAATTGTAACCCCAAGAAGCGGTATTTTAAGACATATAGCATGGGTGGCCCACTTGCCTAAAGCCCCGTTCAGAGTTACCTCTCTTGCCAGGATTCCCTATCTCGAGTTCTAATCCCATATAATATAAGATTATGACCCTTGCGCTCAAGGCATAACACCCTTTTTCGTGGGTTTTAATAAATTTACTTTGGTCTATCTTACCCCTTAAACTGTGACGCCATATTATGTTTGAGCATATACAGGGCGGAAGTCGTAGTAAGTTCCTCCAGATGTTTTCAAGGCTTGTGGTATTTGGCAGCGCTGTGCTTTGAAGTTTTAACAATTGAAAGAGTTGCAACGTATAATGTTTGAGCATATACAGCGTCTAACTTTATTTAAAGAATGTCGTTGATGTTTCCTCAATTCAGATAGGCAACCCACTCAAAACTTTGGACTCATTACCATGGTAGAGATCCGTGAGTGAAGATCCCATTAGAATTTGTCTTCAGCAACACATGCTTGTCGTAAGAGGCGACTATGCTCGTAAGAGGCGACTATGCTTGTAAGAAGCGACTAACGGGGTGGCCAGGCTCCCTTAGTTGGTTGATGAATGTCATCGTATCCCAATTAAGTAGTGCGATGCACCTGATACAAAGAAATGGTTGAATCCAACCGGCTCACTCTTGAGTCACTCACACGCATCATTAAGATTGCGTGCATGGTCAGTTCAGTTCAATATTAACGGTGCGCCACAGTTATATGTTGAGAGCACACTTAAAGTATAATCAAAAATATTCGCAGAACCCTTGATACGAATAGCTTTTAACGCTGTATAAGCCTGAACCTTGATTTTACTTATTATAAAATAGCGGCAATATCTTGCAGGACACGAGCAACCACCTAAAGACGACGAAGTGCGCGTTCTGGGATTTCCTTGAGAACCAAGGAATGGGAGGATGGTCGACGGACGGATGCTATTACAACGGGACGATGTTCGGCCTGGACATCTGTATGTGTAACCACCTGACCAACTTCGCCGTACTGCTGGTAGGTTTATATTTACTCCTTATGCTTGACGCCCTTATAATTCCGAATTTCCAGGCTCGATCGTAGCGCCGACAGTGGCTATTACGAGTTATGTCCCTTCTATGTCCCTCCTACTGACCAATCAGATTCAATCTCTCATATCACTTGCAATGGCTTCAAACAAAAAAAGCTACGACCATCTGATCGATAATCAAGATTATTGATTTGTTTTGTATTGTAATAAAACGGGTCTTTTCCCGCGATGTGCATCAAATCACTTGAACACCTTGATTAAAAATGATTTGCAAAATATCCACCTAGTTGATGGTTCACATGCTTTGCAAATGCTGCAGTTAACCCAAATCTGCACATTGAAATCCATGTTGTTTACGAGATTGTGCGCCTTTTTCGTTGGCCTATGCATAGTCTCGTCAGTCCAGCCAAAATGTAACTCCGGAATTCCACCTAAGTTCGGCAAGGGTGGAAACAGGACATTTATAGTCAAATAACTTCCTTGCCTTGAGAAGATGCCAGTTTGTTAAGGCTGAAAAAAAAGAGAATTGGTTCTCAGGCAATAGCTTATGAAAATATCGTGTGGCCGGGCAACTTTTTTATATTATTTCGTTTGTGTACAAAGTTGTAAGAATCCAATACCGTATATCGCTGTGTATAAGGCAAGTTTTTCATAACTGGAATTAGGAGGCTTTCGGGGATGGGGATGGGGATGGGGATGGGGATGGGGATGGTTGTCGTCTTATACACAGTGTTGAATGTTTTTTTTGGTGTTTTTTCCCCCAACACAAACACATTACTGTGAACACGTAACACCGGAAATACCATGTCAGCAAATCCGTGCTGAACTACGCAAATTAATCATGTAATTACACTGTCTGGTTGTAAAAAGAGTTCATAATATTTCTGGACTTATGTTTGTAATCTATTTTATTAATTTTATTCAGCATTTCATTCAATAGTGTTTCAATAAATCGCACAACTCACCGTTATTTACAGCAACCACGGTCATATTGCCGCTATTGACGCCTTGAAACGAACTTTAGTGGATAGAGAATGGATGACATTTATAATATATATATATATATATATTATAAATGTCATTCATTGGGGGGCACGGGTGGCCCAGTCGTCTAAGGCGCCGCGATTCGCTGTGCAGAGTTGCGTCCCTTGGGCACGCCAGAAACCTATGATTGTGAGTTCGAATCCCGGTTCGCCCCGATTATGTTTCTAGGTTTGTCAGCACCATACCCGTGCTCGTGGGTTTCACCGAAGTGATAAACGTCTTAGACCTGCATCACTTCTGGCTTTCCTCCCACATTAAGCTGACACGCCGTGATATAACTGGAATAATGTTAAAAGCGGCGTTAAACCCAACTCACTCACTCACTCACTCATTCATTGAATCACTGAAAGTCATATTTGTTGTAGTTTGACTATTATATGTCAACATAAAATTTTCGCAATCGCGGCCGCGGGAGCATTGGCGTTGATTGGTCAAATTATTCCATACGAAAAATTATCCGTTCGATTAGCTGAACCAAAGTGCTACGCTTAAGGGTTATTAATATATTTCACATATATAAAGTAAAGCTGCACTAACATGATATTGGAATGAATTATTCCTGATAAAATAATGGTTTCAGATACAATTCTTTCGCTCATTGTATCAAAATTCTTTAAAGTTATATTATTGAGTAATTTTTGACCGAATCACCGGTAGATTCCGAGAAACGTGTGTACAGCGGATAGCTACTTCCGGCTTAGCTAACGAGACAAGACTCACGACATTCTTAATCTCTGCATATAAAACAATGCCAATCAGAACAGGAAATACAATTTAATCGGTAAATCATCATGTCTGGTGATGTTTTATCTCAATTTCAAACTTGTATTGGCCAAGTTTAATATAATCTGTGACTGAATTCGCTGAATGGATAGGATGTATTTTTTTTTCTGCGGAAGACAAACACGTTTTTATTGCAAATGTAGGGATTGTGTATGCGCTGGTGACATGCTTCATTCCGATTCGCTCTAAAGACGGGGTATATAAATTAGCATCGATTTCCCGCTTATTTTACGAGACAAATAAATATGTAAATCTTAACCTCTGCGTATGAAACATTGTCCCGCACACAGATACCGCTGAATTTGTAAATCATCATGTCTAGTGATGTTTTATCGCAAATTTCATGTTTTCATTGACCAAATTTGCAAACGGCAAAACAAACACTCTCCAATTACCGCCATAACACACGAGAAGCGCAGTAAAGCAGTGCGCATGAAAAGGGAAGTAACTGCATGCAATATTGGATCGCATTGTTTTTAAGTATTGTAGCATTTCACTGTTGGGGTCGTTTGTTCGAGACGCGTAACATTTAAGGATATATTTTTTTTCAAAAAGGAAATAAAAACGAAACGTGCGGCGGACTTTGTGATGATGCGGTGGTGCCTGAGAACCAAGAATATTTTGTTTTTAGCCTAACATGTAATGCAATGTAATTATTGACTTCATGTCCTCTGTGCAATGCAATTTGAATATTAAATGTAGACCCATGATAGATCTCCGTCCTCAAGGCTGTAGTTAACTTTTTTTAACAGGGGGGGGGGGACAAATATTTGTACAAGTATCATTTGTCCCCAACTTGATTCAAATAAAACTGTTTTCTATAAAGAAAATCTAGGGGGGCAACTGCCCCCCCCCCCCCCCCCCCCCCCCCCCTCTCCCGGCTGGCTACGGCACTGGTCCTACACATGTGTACTGGTGAATCAGTGGTCTATGCTGCTCTAATAAAAAACTCAGACTCCATCCTTATCTGTGCTAAGATCTGCGTGTCGTGGGTTCGAATCACAAGTTATAATCCTTGGTCCGTCAGCTTCTCGTGGGTTTCGCCAATGTGATAAACAACCTGCGTCACTTCGACCTTCCCTTGCCGTTATGCTTACACATAATCTTACTGAACTGGTACAAAATGGTATGGAACCAACTCACTCACTCACTGACTCTACCATCCATTCCTCAGGACTTCTACGGACACAGCAAGCCAGTGGAGCCTGAACATGAACTGACGCTCAGCATCATCTCCCTGGTCGGCCTCAGCCTCTCCATCTTCGGCCTCGCCCTCACCATCATCACATTCGTATTCTTCAAGTCAGTACCACTGTCCCTCTCTGCCTCTGTACTTTATCCCTATCTCCAGGGGGGCTGATGACGCTGTAGCTTTGGGTGCCGCAAAGTGCTATGCAGAGTTACACCCCTTACCCTTACAAGGATCTGATGGCGATTGCTTCGAATGCCATTGTTTCAGCCCCATACCCGTGCTCGTTGTTTTCAGTAAAATAATGAACATTTATGACATTATTCGTCATTGAGTGCTGTACACCGTCATAATACCGTCATATTTTGATACCTCAACACCGTCATATATTGATACCTACATTCAGTCATATATTAATACCTACATGCCGTCATTCATTGATAACTGTACCTACATAGGCATAAACAATTATCAATAAATCTCCACGCCGTCATATATTGATACCTCCACACCATCATATATTGCTACCTGCATGCCGTCATATTTTTTATATCTACATGCCGTCATATATTGATATCTACATGCCGTCATATATTGATATCTACACGCCGTCATATATTGATACCTACACGCCATCATATTTTGATACCTCCACACCATCATATATTGATACCTACATGCCGTCATATTTTTTATATCTACATGCCGTCATATATTGATATCTACATGCCGTCATATATTGATATCTACACGCCGTCATATATTGATACCTACACGCCATCATATTTTGATACCTCCACACCATCATATATTGATACCTACATGCCGTCATATATTGATATCTACATGCCGTCACATATTGATATCTACATGCCGTCATATATTGATATCTACATGCCATCATATATTGATATCTACACGCCGTCATATATTGATATCTACACGCCGTCATATATTGATATCTACATGCCGTCATATATTGATATCTACATGCTGGCATGTATTGATACCTAAATGCCGTGAGATATTGATACCTACATGCCGTCGTATATAAATACCTCCACGCTGTCATATATTGATATCTACATGCCGTCATATATTGATATCTACATGCGGGCATGTATTGATACCTAAATGCCGTGAGATATTGATACCTACATGCCGTGGTATATAGATACCTCCACGATGTCATATATTGATACCTACACGCCGTCATATATTGATACCTACACGCCGTCATATATAGATACCTCCACGCTGTCATATATTGATACCTACACGCCGTCATATATAGATACCTACACGCCGTCATATATAGATACCTCCACGCTGTCATATATTGATACCTACATGCCGAATTTTATATCTGCACCTACCAGGCATAAACAATTAGCAATCAATCTGGACACTTAATTTGAATAATGTAAATTATTCAAATAGATAACAAAAAATGGGATCATCGTGTAAAGATGTTGCCACTGTTTCCAGGAAGCTGCGTCAGGGGCGCGCCCAGCTCACTCTGTTCCACATGGCCGTGGCCCTGCTGTGTTCCAAGGTGGTGTTCCTGGTGGGCATCAAACAGACCAACAACGAGTACTTCTGTCTGTCCGTGGCGGTGTTGCTGCACTACTTCATCCTGGTGTCGTTCCTGTGGATGCTGATTGAGGCCATATTGCAGTACATGACTTTCGTTAAGATCCTTGGCACGTATGTGTCACGTTATGCACTCAAAACGGCCATTCCTGCATGGGGTAAGACTTAGACAAACCTTTCTTTTATTTAACATCTTTCAAGTTTCAGTATACAGAAAAAGATGTTGATCTGACGTTGTTATAAACCTTTCTTTTTATTTAACATCTTTCAATTTTCGGGATATAGGAATGATGTTTATCTAACGTTGTTGCAAATCTTTCTTTTTATTTAACATCTTTCAATTTTCGGTATATAAAAATGATGTTTATCTAACGTTGTTACAAACCCTTCTATTTATTTAACCATCTTTCAATTTTTCGGTATGAAAAAATGATGTTTATCTAACGTTGTTACAAAACTTTTTTATGTAACATCTTTCAATTTTTGGTATATAAGAATGATGTTTATCTAATATTTTTACAAACCTTTCTTTTTATTTAACGTCGTTCAATTTTCGTTATATAAAAATGATGTTTACCTAACGTTGTTACAAAACTTTCTTTTTATTTAACCATCTTTCAATTTTTCGGTATATAAAAATGATGTTTATCTAACGTTGTTACAAACTTTTTTTATGTAACATCTTTCAATTTTCGTTATATAAAAATGATGTTTATCTAACCTTGTTACACTTGACTATATGTAGATTGTCTTCAGTACCTGTGCTCTACCTCTATATCCACTCCACAGGCTTGCCTCTCATCCCTGTGGTCTCCGTGCTCTCGATTGACTACAACATGTACAGAGGGCGGAAGTCGTAGTAAGTTCCTCCAGAGGTTTTCAAGGCTTGTGGCATTTGGCAGCGCTGTGCTATGAAGTTTTAACAATTGAAAGAGTTGCAACGTATAATGTTTGAGCATATTCAGCGTCTTACTTTATTTAAAGGATGTCGTTGGTGTTTCCTCAATTCAGATAGGCAACCCACTCAAAACTTTGGACTCTTTACTATGGTAGAGACCCGTGAGTGAAGATTAGAATTTGTCTTCAGCAACCCATGCTTGCCGTAAGAGGCGACTATGCTTGTAAGAAGCGACCAACGGGGTGGTCAGGCTCCCTGACTTGGTTGATGCATGTCATCGTATCCCAATTAAGTAGTGCGATGAACGTGATATCAGTCACTCGATTGTCTGGTCCAGACTTGATGTTTTGACAGACCGCCGTCATATAGCTGGAATATTGCAGAGTGAGAAGTTAAACAAACAAACACATTTACTGTCTTCATCTTACCTAGCAGCTTATGGCTTCCCCTTCTTTCAAAGTGACACACACTCAGTTTCACACATGACATTGGTTACATTGATTTTTACAAATCAAGTGGAAGGGGGGCACTCCACAATAAACATACCGTGTTTTCAGTTTTACTGCTGTGTTATGAAGTCAGACACACCATCACAAGAATAGATGAACAAAATATACTTTTTGGCCTTCTTTAAAAGCAATTTCATGAACTATTGTCATTGAACACTTTCTTTATTCTTTATATACTTCTTGTAAAATTTATTGTTTGTTTTTTAACAAAGTATTAGCATTATATTTTTACTGAACATTTCATGATGTCTATACTTGAGTGAGTATGGTTTTATGCCGCCTTTAGCAATACTCCAGCAATATCGCGGTGAGGGACACCAGAGATGTGCCTATGTTGGGAATCGAACCCGGTTCTTCGTTGGACGAGCGGACGCTTTAACCACGAGGCTAAATCACCGCCCTGATGTCTTTACGACTAACGTAACACTGTACATTGCAGACCGCCTCCGTGGTCTAATGGTAGAGCGTCCGCCCGGAGTTCGAAGGTCCCCAGCCGCGTCATACCAAAAGACGTTAAAAAATGGTACTTGTTGTTACCCCGTCTGGCGCTCGGCATTAAGGGGCTAAAACAAGGACTGGTCGGCTCGGAGTCAGTATACTGTGTCTGAGAGGGGTTATTCATGTTAAACTGCGGCATGGTTTCTCAGTGTGCTAGCACTATAAATCGACATCAGTCCGGACTAGTACAAGCAGCAACACACACGTGCATGCACGTCGCTATATAAGTGCAATAATCTAGGACGCGACGTTAAACCCCATTTCACCTCACCTCACCTGTACAATGCAACACATTTTCTAGAGTGATCAACTAAACTTTCCCTCCTAGCTGCTGGATGGGGATGGAAGCCTTCTATTACGCATTTGCTGTACCCGTCGGCGTCATCGTTGTCATCAACATCATCATGTTCATCATCATCCTCGCCAGCCTGGTACGACGACCCGACGGTCTCCGGAGCACCCAGTCGAAACAGCGACGAGCTAGGATGCACTTGAAGGCTGCTGTCACCATTTTTATGCTCCTGGGTAGGTTTGCTTCACATTGTTTTTACAACTTCACAGACCATTAAAACAAATACTATGAAAAAAACACATGTTTAGGTGTAATTAAGTTCAATACGCTTCCTCGTGTTTGGGTTAAACTGGAACGGGTTTTTTTGGAACCGGATAGTCGGCATGGACATAAAGCAAGGCCAGTTATGACAAGATGTCCATGATGATATGGACAATTTGACTCCTCAGCTTGAAGTATGGTCCATGTAAACAATAATCACTACTTAATAGTGACTAATCCAGGTGCTCGCAAAATGGTGAGCGTATCCTGACCCACTTGTGGCACCCGTCACAAACACATGCAAAGCACCTGAAAAAACATGGGGACATGTGATACAAGTCAAAATAAGGAACTGCATCGGACATCATTTCTGTCACTGATGTGTCAAATTTTGAAATGTCCTCCACATGTCCTCCATAACACTTTTTGAAAGCTTTACCGAGGCTTTGACTATTTTTTTACGCTTTTTGAAACCATTCGTCAAGGTAAACCTGTGTAGCTTAAAGCGTATTTGAGACAAAAACAAACTCACACCTCAAATTTGCCTGTCCTTTTCAATCTCTTGTTGGGAATTTGAATAAGCAGCCATTTCAACTTGCGTAAAAATACCACAGATTGCTGGGCAGAAGATTTTTTATATATTATTTGAGCGATCAGAAAAAAATCGACTTAAGAAAAAGTTAATCCGCCAAATTAAACATCTTTAAATCTTTGAAAAGAAGGGAGTTTTAAGTTTTTTTAAAAATCCCAGTATGTTAGATAATAACACAGTTATTTTTGCATGTGAGTGTACGTGTTTTTGCCTTTAATTCCAGGGTTGACGTGGATATTCGGCTTCCTGCAGATCGAGGATGCTCGGATCGTGTTTCAATACGTCTTCACCCTCCTCAGCTCCTTACAGGGTTTCTTTATCTTTGTGATGTTGGTAGCCAGAAGGAAGCAGGTTCGCGATCAATGGTACTTGTTGTGTTGCAACAAGCAGGACAACCGTCGAGCCCCGAAACAGGTGTCCCCGACGAACAGCAACTCGACGTCGTCGAACGGCTCAGGGGGAAGTCTTTCACTGCACAACAGCAGCACAAGAACTCTTCGCACCAACATCGACAGGGAGAGCTTTGACTCCGTGTACTACATACCAACACGGAGGATGCCAACAGCGTACAAGGCGCTATAAGGAGTAGAGGGCATACACACGGGGGCGCTTTTATCCGTTGTAAAATGATCGAGCATTGAAATTGTCCCTGTTTTTTAATTATTTTTATTTTTTTGTCCGTTTGTTAAAAGATAATTAGCTTTGAGTCAATATATAGAAGTGACATACCGACTTAATAATATTGAAATATTTTGAATGCTAAAATAGGATTGACTGATCAATAATAATAATAATAATAATAATAATAATAATAATAATAATAATGCGATACGTAATATTGTTACAAAGTATTGTTAATAAATTGTTATAGTCATGGTTACCTTGCGCGATGTCTCTTTATAATTTCTGAAAAAGATTATTTGCCAAATCATTCACAATTACAAATGGCGGATGAATTCTGAAACAAGTGCGCGAACGTCCCCCGAGAAACGTTGCCCTATAGGAATCTATCCTCACGTCTTTCAGTGCCCAGCCATTTAAGTCAATGTAGTAGTTGCAGCCGGGGAAGAAGTTGATATGTGTTGTACAGGCGCCAGTATGCCGGGCCTCTGTGACCCGAGCGTTGGTATATCATTTTGTATTATACATACATACATACATACATACATACATACATACATACATACATACATACATACATACATACATACATACATACATACATACATACATACATACATACATACATACATACATACATACAGGCTGTGTTGTCTGTCTCAGAGTAAGGTGGTGGTCTACGGCATTAGTACACGTCTCAACAGCCACGGAAGCCCCGTTAATCCAGACTCTCCTCATTACGGACACACACTCTTGGAGATAGTTGTGTATAGACAAAATGGGCATAACTCCGTATCCTTGATTTGTCATTGTGGACCTGTTTAAACCATGGTGAATTCTATCCACGATTATCCAGTGTATCTATATTTTATTTATTTTATATCTAAAATAGAGGCTAAGTCACCTGTAATCGTCTCGAGTTTCCATTTTGGCACAGAAACAAGCGGAACGTCTGACGCGAAAAGACATCCATCCCTTCCGTCTCAGAAACACATCTTTCCAAGCTAAAATTGTATTTATGGCAAACATTAAGGTCTCGTTTGGATGTGTCCGCTGATTTTGAATGGAGGTCTATGGCGCACTAGCGATCATGCATTTTGATTGGCTGTTTATTTTAAGCTCCCGATCGAGAGAAATTTTGCTGGTGATAATGGAACCAACTCTGGTGATGTCACTTCCGAAACGAATCAGTGGTTGGGAAAGAGTCCAAGGTATGCATAATCGAGATTCACTACACTGGATAATCGAGGCTGAACGTTTCAGTGTGAACGTCACTGTGTGGATTAACGGGGCTCCTCTTGTAGTAACACCGCCACAGAAAATGTAAGAGTGAATGTTATCCTACCCTATTTTTTATCCCGGGGATGAAATTCTCTAGTGTCAGGATGATTCTCCCTAGTGAATTTGAACCCATACCAGTGTGTTTAATCCTATCCTGTATTATACTCTAGAGTAAAACTTCCCCCGGGAAAATATTTAGGTACGATATAATCCTTGCTTACGACTATGTATACCAGTGAGACAAATGTAAACAGTAAACCCACGTTGGGCCCCATCTGGATCTTTTCAGCACAAATTAGATCGACTATACGCACACGCATCTCATCGGTGATGTAATATAATTGTCTGTATGTGAATATTAAATGCATAACGATATTGAAACACTATTGAAACAATACAGTTTCTCCTGTATCAGGTGATACCAACTTGTCTGTTGATTGGTCTCCGTAATAATATATTTGTTTTGATGTGAAAATACATTATATATTTGCTTTGATGAAGAGGTACATATTTACTTTGTACAAAATTGTAAATATATTGTGAAATAAACAATGGCACGTATGCAATATGAATTTGTTGATTATATTCCCACATGGCCCTAAATCCCCAGATTTAAGTACTCTGTTGTGACAACGGATTAGTACATTTGCTATAAAATGAACAGCTCATGCAATTAAATGAATAATTGTCACCAATTATTAAGGATTATTGGTGATCAACATAGACCCGAATTATTTATGATGAAGTTTTCTCATAACTATTTGCTATAATAAGAAAATCATAATCAACCATTCCATCATTCGAAGATGGCAAATGCGCTGATTTTCTTCCTACGAGTAGAGGGGGGATGCCATGAAATGTTTATATAGGACGTGGATGGTAATATTTGAAAGTTGAAAATGTACTTTTAGGTCTCTTTTTTTCTGGCAAAGTGTGAAAATCAATCCAACATTTAGGCCTTAGCTTATGAACACACTTGGTCATGCATTCTAAGTGGAAATTCCAGTCTAATTTTCTTGTACCAGCTGTGTACACTGATATGACTCAAAGGCTCTTAAATTGGATGCCGAGACACATTATGTGGTATGCCGGATGCCTGGAGAGGTGAGGATGGCACTCTCCTTCATCTGCGAGCCTAGAGTGAGTGAGTGAGTGAGTGAGTTGTGTTCAACGCAGCTTTGAACAGTTTGTTTCATAGCGTTTCAGTTAGACGATGGAGGAAGACCCAAACTGGTGCAGATTGTGGTCTTTGGTAACACACCTCCTTCCCTCCTCCCCTCATTGTGACTAAACCGGAAGTCGTGGGGAATCCGGGCTGGAATCGATTCCTAGCAACCTATGCCAGTCACGAGAGGAGATTCATGACTCAATGGTTCAGTGTCACACACACAGGCGTTTGTCAGTATAGAAGCAGGTTACTTGGCAAAGAGTTGTGGTGGCGGTGAAATAGGGTTTAACGTCGCGTTAAACATTATTGCACTTGCATAGTGACGTACATGCACGTGTGTGTTTGTGTGTGTGTGTGTGTGTGTCTGTGTGTGTGGCTGTGTGTGTGTGTGGCTGCTTTAACTAGTCCGGACTTATTCCGGTTTGCTAGAAAGTGCCAGCCCACCTAGATACCATGCCGCAGGTTAACATGAGTACCCCCGTCAGTATACCGACATTAAGCTGACCAGGCAGGGAAACAACAAATACCATATTATAACGTCTTTTGGTATGACGCGACCGGGGGCCGAACTCACTCACTCTCCGGTCGGACGCTCTATCCTCTAGACCACGGAGAGGGTCCATGGTAAAGAGACACATGGACACACTGAAGGTATGCAATGTTTCTAAAGTCGCCACAGAGAAACACTGAGTGGGACGAATTCTTGATACCCCCGCCGTAATGTAGCTGGTATATTGACAAAAGCGACACTCACTCAGTCATCAGAAAAGACTCATTGCATACGAGGTTCTCATACATCTTTGTAATGAAAGCTAAATGTAATCTCATCACGGACATCGTTGTCTGTGTCCGTCAACAGAACACTCGTCGCTGCATGATGATATTTAATGAAACCAATAAAATGAACATATGCGAATATTGTGTACCAAGTGCCACTGATGGTGAGCCCATTCCCCTCTGAACCTACGTTCCGCCCATGACACCGGAAGTGCCTGAAACAGAAGGAGGGAATTAAACTACAGAGAGCTGCCTCTGATGAAAACTGTTCGAGCATGTTGACTCGTCACATCATATCAATGTGTGTTGCACCAATATCACCATCGGGACGTGAAATGGCTATTGATAAAAAGTGGTGTAAAACCCTACTAGCTCACTTACTCACTTACCCACAATCACTCACCTCTAAGCACACTGTGAGGGGATGGCTTGTTTCACGTACCTCTAAGCACACTGAGAGGGGATGCCTTGATTCACACATCTCTAAGCACATTGCGAGGGGATGCCTTGTTTCACTCACCTCTAAGCACACTGTGAGGGGATTCCCTGTTTCACTCACCTCTAAGCACACTGTGAGGGGTTACCCTGTTTCACTCACCTCTAAGCACATTGTGAGGGGATGCCCTGTTTCACTCACCTCTAAGCACATTGTGAGGGGATGCCCTGTTTCACTCACCTCTAAGCACATTGCGAGGGGATGCCTTGTTTCACTCACCTCTAAGCACATTGTGAGGGGGTGCCCTGCTTCAGGAACCTGCCTGCAACCCATAGCAACCGGGGAGATGTCAGCTCCTGAAACAATCCAGAACACATCAATCCTAACACTGACCACCGGTCGTGCAACAACACTGAATGATAACAATGAGGTAGGGGAGGGGTAGCATACTGGTTAAAGCGTTCGTTGGTGAAGTCGTAGATCCGGATTCGATTCTCCATGTGTACAATGGTTTACGCCCATTTCTGGTGGACCACAGCCAAAAGGCGTAAAAACATGCTCAACGCATGTCATTAAACGGGTATTTTACGGGCGCTTTTATTGTCCCCTTTAGGTTTGTTTTGTTTGTTTGACACCCCACTCAGCAATATTCCGGCGATGTGACGGCGGTCTGTAAATAATCGTATCTGGACCAGACAATCCAGTGATTAACATCATGAACAACGATCCACACAATTGGGATAAGATGACATGCATCAACCAAGTCAGCGAGCCGGACCACCCGATCCCGTTCGTCGCCTCTTACGACAAGCATAGTCGCCTTTTACGGCAAGCATGGGTTGCTGAAGACCTATTCTACCCCGGATCTTCACGGGCACTGCCGACGTCAATGGCCCTTAATGTTACACTGCATTTGACGGACCGTGTATATGTGGGAGGAAGCCCTCCACAGATCGGAGATGAACAATAAATATAACAAATATTATAAATGAACAATTTTATAGCATTCAATATTTTGAAACTTGAATGATTCTAATTCCATTGAACACAGGACTAACCTCATTCTTGACCGCCACACCGTACCACGAGTCTCCGTTCATCTCCATGCTTTGGCCGTTTGACCGTAGACATTCTCCAAAACTGATGTACGTGATGCTCTCGCTGTCGAAACCAGCTGGAAGAAACACACTTCACATGAGCAATACGGCACACAATGGTGTATCTTCATCGACCGATCCGTTCTGCTAATTTCACTTAGTCCTACATAGGTCCGTGTAGTATTGCGTTATTCACTGTATTACGCGTTGCCCCATGTATTTACGCAGTACGGCATTATTTCGTGTTCTACGTTTGTCGTAAGGTTGGCGAAGCGCCTCACAGTCACGCGTGATTCTACGTAGCTTCCTTCACACGTTGAACTCATTCGTCACCACTCGCCCCTTTCCGTAACCTGCACGCTATTCGGCTTGTCCCGGAATAACACGAGATGGTCACGAATGACGTTGAACTGAGTAACGGACCACGGGTGGCACAGTCGTCGAGCAAGGCGACCCGACAGACTGTGTAGAGTTACGTCCCTAAGGCGTGCCAGACACCTCTGATCGTGGATTAGAATCCAAGATCTGCCCTGATTGTTTCTTGGTTTGTCAGCAACGTACCTGTGGTCGTTGGTTGCACCAAAGTGGAACAGGTGTTATCGTTTCGGGTCTTTCTCTACCGCCAAGCTGATACGCCGTGAAGTAACTGTTAAGCTCTTCAAAAGTGTTTGAAACCAAATTCACTCACTCACTCACTCACAGAATTGGGGTCGGATGGTGAAACTGTGTCACCTGACCCCGATAACATTTGATCTTTGTTCATGCCATCAACACCTGCTTTTTCCTGGTTCAGAGTCGATTTTGCTGGATTTTTTGTAAAAATACCCTGGCAGACTGCGTCACATAACAACATTCACTCACTCATTCACTGCACCCCACATTCATGCAATCCATGCTGACCGGGACCTCCTTCCTTAGAGAACTTGGCCAGACGGCTGCCATGGTCCGTATATTTCAACATGGACGTATCATAGTTTCCTTGGGGGCACGGGTGGCCGACGTCTAAGGCGCCACGATTCGCTGTGCAGAGTTGCGTCCTTTGGGCACGCCAGAAACCTATGATTGTGGGTTCGAGTCCCGGTTCGCCCCGATTATGTTTCTAGGTTTGACAGCACTATACCCGTGCTCGTGGGTTTCACCAAAGTGGTAAACGTCTGAGACCTGCATCACTTCGGGCTTTCCTCCCACATTAAGCTGACACGCCGCGATATAACTGGAATAATGTTAAAAGCGGCGTTAAACCCAACTCACTCACTCACTCAGAGTTTCCTTGTTGAAAATGGACCCAGGAAGGTGTTCCAAGCCGTAAAATGCACAGTCACCAGTTGTTTCTACAACACCCTCATTTATCCAGTGTGTTATACATACATTCTGTATTGACAAATACCCTGGATCATTCGCTGCATTAGCTTCGCTTTGAGCTCGATACAAATGACATTGAACACTTACATGTGTAACAAATTCTCCAGTCACATTACTCAGAAGAGCGAGAGAAATTACGTGCTAAATTTGTGGTAGCATAGATTGAGATGCGTGACGTCAATTCCTAAACGACATTTTGGTGACGAATGGATACAGGGAATTGATGATACAGGAATGGAAATAAAATAGCCCGGATGTTATTGTGGATATATTGATGAAATGAAGTAACAAGCGCCTTCATATATTTGGAATTTGTGTATTTCAGATTACATAAACTACGAAAGTTTAGTATTACCATGAAAAAAATACACCTCACCTTGAAAATTCCATGTGAGTTGAAATTTCATGGTAAAAAGATTTTGATAATTATATATATATCTTATATCATTGGACTTCCGTAATTGAGGTCTGAGTTTGGAAATAATTCCCGGTAAGAGTACTATCGGAACGAGATACCATTCCCAGGCCAGTATGGAGAACGTTGCACGAACCACCTGCCTCGTCGCACGTCTCTCATGTCCCGCCAACAACTGTAGTTATATAATCTGTCATGGGACATGAATTCATATAAGCAGTTAATAATGCTCACGTTTTGAATACGCGTCCACGAGACCCTCCGTGGCACACACACACGCCCCGTGCTGGAGAGCAACGCCCTCCATTGCAGCTATTACCAGTATGGATGTCTGTAGAACACAAAGACGCAGCAAAAGCAACATGGCGGACATCAACACTGTCGACACAAGGGATTGTCTGAAATGCTGTGACCTTCGGGGCATCTTATCTGAGATTCACGAGGGTTGAAACTAACCCTTATTATTACGTTAGTATTCATAATTTCTAATTTAGCTATAACAAGAAAATAGGATCGTGTTGGTTTACGTGTCACTAAGCAATGTTCCAATTGCATCTCGGCGTTCTGTAAATACTCGAGTCTGGACCAGACAAGCCAGTGGTTAATATTATGAGCTCGCCCTAAGCCGTCGGGGCACGATGCATTAAGAATCTGAGTCTGGTTCTTACTAATCTCTTATGATGTAATGTTACTTTCACTGGGAACAAATTCTAACACTAAATCTCCAATGAGGGTATGCTGCCTGTTACACATACATCATACACGCACGCACGCACGCACGCACGCACGCACGCACGTACCTACATGCAACTATTTATACAGCGCTTAAGCTATCGGTGACACTTGGCAAACATCAAACATCAAAGGCAGTCTTCAGCTGGGCCTTAAAAGTACATAACTGTTTCTGGGATCTGATGTGAAAGGGGAGGTCCAGGCCTTTGAAAAGAACGATCGCCAAACGTTATGGTACGTGATGGTGGAACATGTAACAGTTGCTTATCGCCTGATCACAACGAACGAGTAGGTTGTCAGGTAGTTGTTGTAATTATTTGAAAGTGCGTAACTAAGACATTTTCACGTTGTTTTTCCGATAATAATAACCGACTGCTAGATCGATATTCATTTTGACATGTGAGCTGGTGGACAATGGGTTTGTATGAATGTTTTACTGACTTGAATCCCAATTTGCGTGGACTAATAATTAGTAACCTGAACTGCGTCACCCTTCATTGTACTGTAGCTGAAGTTTGTGAAAGCCGCAGTCACAGATAGTCAAGGGGGGTAAAGCTGATTTATGTTGTTGTTTAAGGATGTAATTGTACAGTCGCCTTGACACGCCATTGCCGGGATAATACTGTACCGTAGCCGATGCCGATATTGAACGTATAAGAGCTATCACAGTATTCTTCGGGTTAATGAAATTACAATACTGTAGCACTTCTTCTTATACAGAGATAATCGGACAATCCGTTCTTTATGAGAACTGTACTTTCCTTATAATTTTTGAAGAATATTGGTTCCACATATTGGAATTACAGGTCATTTGAATACATAATCAAACGTGCGTACTCAGCAAAATGTACTGTTACGAAAATCCTTGTGAAGGGGCGACACACGGACAGACAATGCGAGTTAATGTCGGCCCGGTTAGGGGATCATCTCTTTCTAACAGTGTTTCACTTGTCACATTCCATCGCATGTTCTCAGGCAAAATGGGTGGTCTGTGTGTATATGTTCTGTTGTACAAATGTTGACAGGCCTACGCGTTCTCATGTACAAGCGAGGACCTATGTGTTCTCATGTTCAAGCAAGGACCTCTATGTTCTCGTGTTCCAGCAAGGACCTATATGTTCTCATGTACAAGCGAGGACCTCTGTGTTCTCATGTACCAGCGAGGACCTATGTGTTCTTATGTTCCAGCGAGGACCTATGTGTTCTCATCTACAAGCAAGGACCTCTATGTTCTCATGTTCCAGCGAGGACCTATGTGTTCTCATTTACATGCAAGGACCTCTATGTTCTCATGTACTAGCGAGGACCTATGTGTTCTCATTTACATGCGAGGACCTCTTTGTTCTCATGTACAAGCGAGGACCTATGTGTTCTTATGTTCCAGCGAGGACCTATGTGTTCTCATGTACCAGCGAGAACCTATGTGTTCTCATCTACAAGCAAGGACTTCTATGTTCTCATGTTCCAGCGAGGACCTCTGTGTTCTCATGTTCCAGCGAGGACCTATGTGTTCTCATGTACCAGCGAGGACCTATGTGTTCTCATCTACAAGCAAGGACCTCTATGTTCTCATGTTCCAGCGAGGACCTATGTGTTCTCATTTACATGCAAGGACCTTTATGTTCTCATGTACCAGCGAGGACCTATGTGTTCTCATTTACATGCAAGGACCTCTATGTTCTCATGTACTAGCGAGGACCTATGTGTTCTCATGTACCAGCGAGGACCTCTGTGTTCTCATCTACAAGCAAGGACCTCTATGTTCTCATGTACAAGCGAGGACCTATGTGTTCTCATGTTCAAGCAAGGACCTCTATGTTCTCGTGTTCCAGCAAGGACCTATATGTTCTCATGTACAAGCGAGGACCTCTGTGTTCTCATGTACCAGCGAGGACCTATGTGTTCTTATGTTCCAGCGAGGGCCTATGTGTTCTCATCTACAAGCAAGGACCTCTATGTTCTAATGTTCCAGCGAGGACCTATGTGTTCTCATCTACAAGCGAGGACCTCTATGTTCTCATGTACAAGCGAGGACCTATGTGTTCTCATGTTCAAGCAAGGACCTCTATGTTCTCGTGTTCCAGCAAGGACCTATATGTTCTCATGTACAAGCGAGGACCTCTGTGTTCTCATGTACCAGCGAGGACCTATGTGTTCTTATGTTCCAGCGAGGGCCTATGTGTTCTCATCTACAAGCAAGGACCTCTATGTTCTAATGTTCCAGCGAGGACCTATGTGTTCTCATCTACAAGCGAGGACCTCTATGTTCTCATGTTCCAGCGAGGACCTATGTGTTCTCATTTACAAGCAAGGACCTTTATGTTCTCATGTACCAGCGAGGACCTATGTGTTCTCATTTACATGCAAGGACCTCTATGTTCTCATGTACTAGCGAGGACCTATGTGTTCTCATTTACATTCGAGGACCTCTTTGTTCTCATGTACAAGCGAGGACTTATGTGTTCTTATGCACAAGCGGGGACATCTATGTTTTCATGTTCCAGCGAGGACCTATGTGTTCTCATTTACATGCGAGGACCTCTGTTCTCATGTACAAGCGAGGACCTCTATGTTCTCATGTGCAAGAGAGGACCTATGTGTTCTTATGCACAAGCGAGGACCTATATGTTCTCATTTACATGCAAGGACCTCTATGTTCTCATTTACATGCAAGGACCTATATGTTCTCGTGTACAGGCGAGGACCTCTATGTTCTCATTTACATGCAAGGACCTCTATGTTCTCATGTACTAGCGAGGACCTATGTGTTCTCATGTACCAGCGAGGACCTATATGTTCTCATCTACATGCAAGGACCTCTATGTTATCATGTACAAGCGAGGACCTATGTGTTCTCATGTTCAAGCAAGGACCTCTATGTTCTCGTGTTCCAGCAAGGACCTATATGTTCTCATGTTCCAGCTAGGACCTCTGTGTTCTCATGTACCAGCGAGGACCTATGTGTTCTTATGTTCCAGCTAGGACCTATGTGTTCTCATCTACAAGCAAGGACCTCTATGTTCTCATGTTCCAGCGAAGACCTATGTGTTCTCATTTACATTCAAGGACCTTTATGTTCTCATGTACCAGCGAGGACCTATGTGTTCTCATTTACATGCAAGGACCTCTTTGTTCTCATGTACTAGCGAGGACCTATGTGTTCTCATTTACATGCGAGGACCTCTTTGTTCTCATGTACAAGCGAGGACTTATGTGTTCTTATGCACAAGCGGGGACATCTATGTTTTCATGTTCCAGCGAGGACCTATGTGTTCTCATTTACATGCGAGGACCTCTGTTCTCATGTACAAGCGAGGACCTCTATGTTCTCATGTGCAAGAGAGGACCTATGTGTTCTTATGCACAAGCGAGGACCTATATGTTCTCATTTACATGCAAGGACCTATATGTTCTCATTTACATGCAAGGACCTATATGTTCTCGTGTATAGGCGAGGACCTCTATGTTCTCATTTACATGCAAGGACCTCTATGTTCTCATGTTCCAGCGAGGACCTATGTGTTCTCATTTACATGCAAGGACCTCTGTTCTCATGTACAAGCGAGGGCCTCTATGTTCTCATGTGCAAGAGAGGACCTATGTGTTCTTATGCACAAGCGAGGACCTATATGTTCTCATTTACATGCAAGGACCTATATGTTCTCATTTACATGCAAGGACCTATATGTTCTCGTGTATAGGCGAGGACCTCTATGTTCTCATTTACATGCAAGGACCTCTATGTTCTCATGTTCCAGCGAGGACCTATGTGTTCTCATTTACATGCAAGGACCTCTGTTCTCATGTACAAGCGAGGACCTCTATGTTCTCATGTGCAAGAGAGGACCTATGTGTTCTTATGCACAAGCGAGGACCTATATGTTCTCATTTTCATGCAAGGACCTATATGTTCTCATTTACATGCAAGGACCTATATGTTTTCGTGTACAGGCGAGGACCTCTATGTTCTCATTTACATGCAAGGACCTCTATGTTCTCATGTTCCAGCGAGGACCTATGTGTTCTCATTTACATGCGAGGACCTCTATGTTCTCATGTACATGCGAGGGCCTCTATGTTCTCATGTACAAGCGAGGACCTCTATGTTCTCATGTACTAGCGAGGACCTATGTGTTCTCATGTACAAGCGAGGACCTCTATGTTCTCATTTACTTGCGAGGACCTATATGTGTTCATTTACATTCGAGGTATTCATGTTCAACTGTGGCATGGTATCTCAGTGTGCTAGCACTATAAATCGGCATCAGTCCGGACTAGTACAAGCAGCCACACACACACACACACGTGCATGCACGTCGCTATATAAGTACAATAATCTTGGACGCGACGTTAAACCCCATTTCACCTCACCTCACATTTACATGCAAGGATCTCTATGTTCTCATTTACATGCAAGGACCTCTATGTTCTCATGTACAAGCGAGGACCTATGTGTTCTCATGTTCCAGCGAGGGCCTCTATGTTCTTATGTACAAGCGATGACCTCTATGTTCTCATGTACAAGCCAGGACCTCTATGTTCTCATTTACTTGCGAGGACCTATATGTTCTCATTTACATGCGAGGACCTATATGTTCTCATGTACAAGCGAGGACCTATGTGTTCTCATGTTCCAGCGAGGGCCTCTATGTTCTCATGTACAAGCGAGGACCTCTATGTTCTCATGTACAAGCGAGGACCTCTATGTTCTCATTTACTTGCGAGGACCTATATGTTCTCATTTACATGCGAGGACCTATATGTTCTCATGTACAAGCGAGGACCTCTATGTTCTCATTTACATGCGAGGACCTATATGTTCTCATTTACATGCAAGGACCTATATGTTCTCGTGTACAAGCCAGGACCTCTATGTTCTCATTTACATGCGAGGACCTCTATGTTCTCATTTACATGCGAGGACCTCTATGTTCTCATGTACTAGCGAGAGCCTCTATGTTCTCATGTACAAGCGAGGACCTCTATGTTCTCATGTACAAGCGAGGACCTCTATGTTCTCATTTACATGCGAGGACCTCTATGTTCTCATTTACAAGCCAGGGCCTATATGTTCTCATTTACATGCACGGACGCCGCATTTTGTCACGAGTCAAGGTGTATCATCAGCGACGAGAAACCATTTTCCATGTTTCAACCGTTTGAACTTCTTTCTTCAAAATGTCAGCCTCGGACACGGCGCGTAATGATACACATGTACAAGCATGATGTTCAACAAGTTATTAAATAAAAACAAAGAAATAACAAACTTGAAGATGGCTGGGTGCTACTAATACATAATAGTACAGTTCATATATTAAAACATACAGTTATGATATAATCAGTATCCAAATTGGCAATGGATATGGTCCCCTTCATTTTGTCCCCATCCCTTCATAGAAAAGCAAAGATCCAGGAATTCCTTCGACCTTGACCCGTTGTGAAGATCAACAGCTTGACCTCTGTAGTGGCGGGAGTTACATGTGTGACAGGCACCAGCTATCTCGTTGACCTGAAAATAGAATGTAGGATAACCGGAATACCTACATAAATATTCTGATACCTTTTAGTTTTACGGTTTTCAAGGTGTGTGTGTCGTAGACGCACGATTCATCATCATGTTTATCATCAAGTTATTTATTAAGTTTATCGTCTTGTTTATAAGGGGGCACGGGTGGCCCAGTCGTCTAAGGCGCCGCGATTCGCAGTGCAGAGTTGCGTCCCTTGGGCACGCCGGAAACCTATGATTGTGGGTTCGAATCCCGGTCCGCCCCGATTATGTTTCTAGGTTTGTCAGCACCATACCCGTGCTTGTGGGTTTCACCGAAGTGGTAAACGTCTGAGACCTGCATCACTTCGGGCTTTCCTCCCACATTTAAGCTGACACGCCGTGATATGACTGTAATACTGTTAAAAGCGGCGTTAAAACCCAACTCACTCACTCACTCACTCACTCTTGTTTATAATCGTGTATATCATCATGTTTATCATCATGTTTATCACCATGTTTCAGTATCGGATTTATATACTATTGGCTGTAAAAATAACTTTTTTAGAAAATGTTTTTGTCCTATTTTCTATAGAGAGGACGTAAGAAAACAACGGACATATTTCAGCACACTTTTGCCCATCACATGCATTTCTGCATATTGGTATTTTTATGAGAATTGAAGTTTGTTAAGAAGGAACAAGATGGGGAGAGAGTTTGATTTTACGCTCCTCTGAACGGTAATTTATCGGCATGTCAGCTGAGTGAGACGTGCGCATCTTTCTGAAACCCGCGATCAGCGGTAATGTGCTGACATGGGATTAAGATCCAGCAGCGTTAAAGAAGGAATTGCCACTTCTGGCCCCAGTACGTCCAAAGATCTGATACAATTTGTTTTAGAAGTCTTGTTTCTTTATTTTCTTTATTTCCACACGCTCTCTTCATCCTTCTGCTTTAACATGATTGAAAAATATTGAAAAAAGTAACATATGCCAACCATGTGATCGTATATATGTATTACATTTTTTTCTCGTTAATCGTCCAAAATCTGTTGCTATTGTTTGAATATGTCTAAAAGCGGTGTAATACCATATTCACCTCACTTACTCGTCAATCGTTTTTTATCAAATGTAAAAATATTCTATTTCTGTTTTTCATTGCCAGCATATCTACAACAATATTTCGCTAGAAACTAGCACTAGTATTCAGTTTTAAAACGGAGATGGGGCAGCACATGCTATTAAACTGCTTGAGAAAAATGTAAGTATATTGTGTAAGGAAGAATATGAATTCTCACATGCATGTAACCCTTCCTTGCCAGCGTGATGAGGTAGTGGACGAGGTCGTGGTTGAGGCAAATGGTGCCACCGGGAGCTAAGCAGCCATTGCAGGTGTAACTGGAAGAGTGTACATACGATAAAGACACATCCGTACTGAGAGTACAGACTGTTAGACCGATACAGACATCCGGACTGAGAGGACAGACTGTTAGACCGATACAGACATCCGGACTGAGAGTATAGACTGTTAGACCGATACAGACATCTGGACTAAGAGTATAGACTGTTAGACCGATACAGACATCCGGTCTGAGAGTATAGACTGTTAGACCGGTACAGACATCCAGACTAAGAGTATAGACTGTTAGACCGATACAGACATCCGGACTGAGAGTATAGACTGTTAGACCGATACAGACATCTGGACTAAGAGTATAGACTGTTAGACCGGTACAGACATCCGGACTGAGAGTATAGACTGTTAGACCGATACAGACATCCGGACTGAGAGTACAGACTGTTAGACCGATACAGACATCCGGACTGAGAGTACAGACTGTTAGACCGATACAGACATCCGGACTGAGAGTGCAGACTGTTATAACGGTACAGACATCCGGACTGAGAGTACAGACTGTTAGACCGATACAGACATCTGGACTAAGAGTATAGACTGTTAGACCGATACAGACATCCGGACTGAGAGTATAGACTGTTAGACCGGTACAGACATCTGGACTAAGAGTATAGACTGTTAGACCGATACAGACATCCGGACTGAGAGTATAGACTGTTAGACCGATACAGACATCCGGACTGAGAGTACAGACTGTTAGACCGATACAGACATCTGGACTGAGAGTACAGACTGTTAGACCGATACAGACATCCGGACTGAGAGTGCAGACTGTTATAACGGTACAGACATCCGGACTGAGAGTACAGACTGTTAGACCGATACAGACATCCGGACTGAGAGTGCAGACTGTTATAACGGTACAGACATCCGGACTGAGAGTACAGACTGTTAGACCGATACAGACATCCGGACTGAGAGTGCAGACTGTTAGACCGATACAGACATCCGGACTGAGAGTACAGACTGTTATACTGGTACAGACATCCGGACTGAGAGTACAGACTGTTAGACCGATACAGACATCCGGACTGAGAGTACAGACTGTTATAACGGTACAGACATCTGGACTGAGATGACAGACTGTTATACTGGTACAGACATCCGGACTGAGAGGACAGACTGTTATAACGGTACAGACATCCGGACTGAGAGTACAGACTGTTATAACGGAACAGACATCCGGACTGAGAGGACAGACTGTTATAACGGTACAGACATCCGGACTGAGATGACAGACTGTATAACGGTACAGACATCCGGAATGAGATGACAGACTGTTATAACGGTACAGACATCCGGACTGAGTGGACAGACTGTTATACTGGTACAGACATCCGGACTGAGACTACAGACTGTTATAACGGAACAGACATCCGGACTGACAGTATAGACTGTTATAACGGAACAGACATCCGGACTGAGAGTACAGACTGTTATAACGGTACAGACATCCGGACTGAGATGACAGACTGTATAACGGTACAGACATCCGGAATGAGATGACAGACTGTTATAACGGTACAGACATCTGGACTGAGAGGACACACTGTTACAACGGTACAGACATCCGGACTGAGAGTACAGACTGCTTATATCTGTACATTGGTTAACTATCGCATTGCATTACAATTAAATGTAACTCACTGAGATCTGCTTGCAGCATGGCCGTTGCAGGTGTCCCGGATGTTGTTGTAGGAGAAAGCGTTGTCATGGACACCAGAGGGGTGAACTTTCCACAGCTCAATCTTGCCGGAGTTGTGGAGTTGAAGCAGCTCACAAGACCATGCCTTGACTTGAGTGTCTCCACACGATCCCGAGCCAGTGCCAGTGGAGGCTACAAGGCAAAGTAACACGACACAATGCAACATGACAGCTCAATAATGCAATAATCGAATATATAATATTATGTATAAGTTTACAGTATCTCTGTCACACAAACGACTGTTAAATTACAGCGGAATCCATAAAACCTATCGTTGTTTTATTCTGTTATTACAAAGATGACAACCGGGGAAATAAGTGACTAAAGTACTCACGGAAATGAAAAAAAACTGTTTTTTCGACCTCAGATCTTAAATAAATGCAGTCAATATACAAAATATGTAAATATTCAAACAACTAAATTAGTACTAATTGGGCCGTGGCACAAATACAGCGTATCAAATGTTTTTATGCCTTTTTACACGTAAAAGTGTGTAAAAATGTGAATAAAACAGACTATTGTGAAACAGGGCATAATCAGGTGTCAGTAGATCAAGGTGACCTATGACACCTTGACGACAGGTGAGAACAGGTGCATAATGCCTATAGTCTGTTTCTGCTATGTCAGTTTGGACTTAGTTTTATTTTTGAATGTTGAAAGTGCCGACAAATTAACTCCTGTAAAGTTTTTTGTGTATTGTTCACTGAGATCAAACTAGCAAATCCAGACTAGTACTTTTCGAGTTGTTTTGTTATTTCGTATTTACAGCTACGTAACACTTTGTGTCGATTTTTAAATTGAGAAAAACAGGTTTTTTTCATTTCCGTGAGTACTTTATTCTGTTCCTTGTTTGTACCAATGCCCTGTACCAGGTGAACACTCCAGTGAAGCCAGAAAGCATGTTTACATCAAAGTAACAACCGTGCCCTTAGAAACACTCGACCTCAAAATCAAGGAAATTGTTGAACGACTTTTTTAAATCAAAACATGGACGGATGCTAATGAGCGTGGAACGTGCATGTAAACGTACCACACTGCGCAGTGGTGCCGACGTTTAAGTATACTCCAGCTACCCAGAGTCGCTGAAACAATAAATGTGTATCGAGGTACAGGTAAAATAGTCTGCTGTAGTGAGTGAGTGAGTGAGTATGGTTTTACGCCGCTTTTAGCAATATTCCAGCAATATCACGGCGGGGGACACCAGAAATGGGCTTCACACATTGTACCCATGTCGGGAATCGAACCCGGGTCTTCGGCGTGACGAGCGAACGCGTTAACCACTAGGCTACCCGACCGCCCATCTGCTGTAGACTTTGGTACATAACATAACATTCTATAAAATGTCATAACATGTTGGTTTACTGGTTACCGTAAGAAGCAACACTTTGTGATAACTTTGTTTTAAAATATTGATATTTGCTTTGTTTTTTATTGTTTAGCCTAATTTCCCTCATCTTCCCGAGGCAAGGGAGTTAATTAACTATAAAAGTCCAGTTTCGTGACTCCAACGTGGCTATTACGAGTTATGTCCCTTCTATGTCCCTTCTATTGACCAATCAGATTACACCTCTCACACCACCTGCATTTGCTTCAAACATAATGGCGGCGCCCAGTCAAGACGATCTGATCGATAATCAAGATCAATATTTTGCATAATAAAACGGGTCTTTCCTCGGGAAGTGCATAAAATCACGTAGCACCTGGATTAGAAACATAAAAATAGTTGGGAAATATCCGTTGACGCTCAGTCGACGGAACCATAAACCATAGTATAGTCGGAATCGTACAGCTGGCAGCAGAGATTTGTTTTGAATATGGAAAGGTCGCTTTTATTTATCTGCACGGCATTCTCCATGCTGATATCGAAGCGGGGCGGTCGGGTAGCCTAGTGGTTAAAGCGTTAGCTCGTCACGCCGAAGACACGGGTTCGATTCCCGACATGGGTACAATGTGTGAAGCCCATTTCTGGTGTCCCCCGCCGTGATATTGCTGGAATATTGCTAAAAGCGGCGTAAAATCATACTCACTCACTCACTATCATCGAAGCGGAAGTCAATTTCGTTACGCGATTTTGACTGGACTATGCATGACTCGATAGTCCATCCAATATATAACTCCGAAATTCCAGCCTAGTTAAGCAAGAGGGGAAACTGGTTTTTTTCAAAACCAGTTAATTCCCTTGAATTTGGAAGATTGATTTCCCTGAAAACAACAGCTTAAAAACACATTTTCGCGCTTACATTGCCGACAAAAACTATGATTTCTGTACCATACCTGTCCGCTGACAGTTATCTCGAACCACTTGTAAGCTCCCAACGTGAGCTCCCCACCGTAGAACTTGTAACACTCCCCTGTGTTTAGTGTCGCCTTCACAGTCGTCCCTGACGTCCCCGCTGAAAGTACATCATAGAAGCATTCAAAAGCACAGTACCTTAGGTGTATTCGAATGCGTGTCTCGGTCGGAAAAGGACAGAGGCCACACACTAAAGACCACAGCGAAATACTGCGTAGATTGCATCAGGTATTCGTGAAGCGCGTTCCATTCCTGTATATGTATAACACATTTGACCTTTCTGTACATGTAAAACTCATTTGACCTTTCTGTACATGTATAACACATTTGACCTTTCTGTACATGTAAAACTCATTTGACCTTTCTGTACATGTATAAAACATTTGACCTTTTGTACGTGTAAAACACATTTGACCTTTCTGTGCATGTGTAACACATTTGACCTTCATGTCCATCTACAACACATTTGACCTTCATGTATATGTATAACACATTTGACCTTTATGTACATATATAACACATTTGACCTTCATATATATGTATAACACATTTGACCTTTATGTACATGTACAACACACTTGACCTTCATGTATATGTATAACACATTTGACCTTTATGTACATTTACAACAGGATTGGCCTTTTATAAGAATATGTTCGAACGATTTTGATCTTTAGGTCCCATATGCCCCTGAAACTAGTTGTATTTAACGACACACATGCCCAGCTAGATGGTTGTATTTAACGACACACATGCCCAGCTAGATGGTTGTATTTAACGACACACATGCCCAGCTAGATGGTTGTATTTAACGACACACATGCCCAGCTAGATGGTTGTATTTAACGACACACATGCCCAGCTAGATGGTTGTATTTAACGACACACGTGCCCAGCTAGATGGTTGTATTTAACGACACACATGCCCAGCTTGATGGTTGTATTTAACGACACACGTGCCCAGCTAGAAATGGTCAAACACAGAAGATATTCATTCTGCAGTCAGTTATCAGCGTAAGAAATTGCCTTGGTATATATTTAGAACGAATACGCGCCAACAGAAATTGATACTCGTTTTCAACCAGATTGCTATTACGATGAAAACTTTGCCTTTCACTCCTTTGAGTCATATGCGATATGTTTCTTTCACATCGAAATCACTCGAAAAGCAAGGATAACGGACAAATGCAGTACGGAATTTGTAACTTTTGTTCAATGAGTTGACAAATGAAGTTTAAGCCCATGCCTAATGTTTGATCCTAGAGTTGCTGATTAAAGAGGCATGCCGGTTTTTTCGAGTGAATCTAAATTCTGATAGAAAAGGATCAACGTGTTGAATATATTGCCTTTTCCATATGAAACCTAAAAAAATTTGATAAAGTAAATTCTTTATCATGCCATTCGTTGCTGCTTGGTTCAACATATAACATTTCTTCGGGTATAGAGAATCAATCATGCACAAACATATTGCCTGCAAAAATTCACTAAAAACATTTTTAGGTATCTAGAATCAATCATGCACAAAATATATTGCCTGTATAAATTCATAAATGTCTTTTAACACTACACTTCTAGAAACCATAAAAAAGGGAATTGGTAATCTTGAGATTGGACTCAGCTGATGTCTTCCTCAGGCGAGCAGATTGTAAATTACAAATGCAGTCTCACGGTGGTCTCTGGCGTTGACCCCTCCCCCGTGGACACAGAGGCATTGACCGGACTTGAGGGTGGTGTGCGTCACGTCAGCAGTGACGGTGGCAACTAGGACACAAACCAACAGCAACATTGTCGACGACATTTAGATGTGACACTGGCTTGAGGGTTCCGTTATCTTATTGTTATAGGGCACGAAAAATATGTATGGTAGCTTGATTAGGACATAACAAAGAACATTGTTACATGTGCGTCAACAGAATCTTATGTCAATATGTAATACAATCAGAATTATATTCCTTTGTCTATGCCATTCCACACGTTGTGAATAGGGAGCGATAACAGAAGTTTCCGAAGAGATAGAGAGTGAGTGAGTGAGTGAATGAGTAAGGGTTTATGACTCTTTCAGCAATATTCCAGTAAAACCTCGAAGGGCTACACCAGATATGGACTTCAATGTGAGTGAGTGAGTGAGTGAGTATGGTTTTACGCCGCTTTTAGCAATATTTCAGCAATATCACGGCGGGGGACACCAGAAATGGGCTTCACACATTGTACCCATGTCGGGAATCGAACCCGGGTCTTTCGGCGTGACGAGCTAACGCTTTAACCACTAGGCTACCCGACCGCCCCGACTTCAATGAGAGGATTCGGATTCGGGTCTTCAGTGTGAAATGCGAACGCTTTAACCGTTAGGCTAATTTAGAAATAGTCGGATACATAGTACGCTCAGAACATGAAAATGTTTGGAGTTTAATTATATTAACACATGAACACATAATGTTAACATGTGCTTACATTAGATGTAAAGCAGGCGCGCTAAAGCTGTGAACAAGATTTCTAAATGTTTAGCGTTAAAATCACAGCCATAAAAATGGTAACTTGTCTCATGATTGCTTATGATGTAACGTCAAGTTGTTGCGAAAACGGAGTTGCGTCGAGTTGCTGTGTTTCTTGATTTTTCATCAAGTTTAATTGTTCAGTCTGTTACGTTAATTGGTTACGTTCACGACGTTTCAGGACGTTACGTCAAGTTGTTACGTTCTGGAAGTTACTTCATGTTGTTACGTTCAGGAAGTTACGTCATGCTGTTACGTTCAGGAAGTTACTTCACGTTGTTACGTTCAGGAAGTTACGTCAAGTTGTTACGTTCTGGAAGTTACTTCATGTTGTTACGTTCAGGAAGTTACGTCATGCTGTTACGTTCAAGAAGTTACTTCATGTTGTTACGTTCAGGTATTAACTTCTTCATGTTGTTACGTTCAAGAAGTTACTTCATGTTGTTACGTTCAGGAATTAACTTCTTCATGTTGTTACTTTCAGGAAGTTACTTCATGTTGTTACGTTCAGGAATTAACTTCTTCATGTTGTTACTTTCAGGATGTTACTTCATGTTGTTACGTTCAGGAATTAACTTCTTCATGTTGTTACGTTCAAGAAGTTACTTCATGTTGTAACGTTCAGGAATTAACTTCTTCATGTTGTTACTTTCAGGAAGTTACTTCATGTTGTTACGTTCAGGAATTAACTTCTTCATGTTGTTACTTTCAGGATGTTACTTCATGTTGTTACGTTCAGGAATTAACTTCTTCATGTTGTTACGTTCAAGAAGTTACTTCATGTTGTTACGTTCAGGAATTAACTTCTTCATGTTGTTACTTTCAGGATGTTACTTCATGTTGTTACGTTCAGGAATTAACTTCTTCATGTTGTTACGTTCAAGAAGTTACTTCATGTTGTTACGTTCAGGAATTAACTTCTTCATGTTGTTACTTTCAGGAAGTTACTTCATGTTGTTACGTTCAGGAATTAACTTCTTCATGTTGTTACTTTCAGGATGTTACTTCATGTTGTTACGTTCAGGAATTAACTTCCTCATGTTGTTACTTTCTGGAAGTTACTTCATGTTGTTACGTTCAGGAAGTTACGTCATGTTGTTACGTTCAGGAAGTTACTTCATGTTGTTACGTTCTGGAAGTTACTTCATGTTGTTACGTTCAGGAATTAACTTCTTCATGTTGTTACTTTCAGGAAGTTACTTCATGTTGTTACGTTCAGGAAGTTACGTCGTGCTGTTACGTTCAAGAAGTTACTTCATGTTGTTACGTTCAGGAATTAACTTCTTCATGTTGTTACTTTCAGGAAGTTACTTCATGTTGTTACGTTCAGGAATTAACTTCTTCATGTTGTTACTTTCAGGAAGTTACTTCATGTTGTTACGTTCAGGAATTAACTTCTTCATGTTGTTACGTTCAGGAAGTTACATCATGTTGTTACGTTCAAGAAGTTACGTCAAGTTGTTACATTGAGGATGTTACGTCATGTTGTTACGTTCAGGATGATACGTCAAGTAGTTATGAACAGGAAGTTACGTCAAGTTGGTACGTTTCAGGAAGTTACGTCGAGGCTACACCCCCGGAGTTTCATCCCACATTAAGCAGTCACACTGTGATTATATGAAATACTTTTGAAAGCGGCATAAAACACGACCAGACTAACTCACCAACTGATACGTTAGTAATTTCATAATTTGTTCTGCAAAGTTGCCGATTCAACTTGATTACCTCATCTGCATGTAGAAGGAGCCAAAGGCGGCCTTCCCAAAACAACACTAACAACAACAAGAAAAGAGTGGTCTTCCTTAAACAACAGTAACACTGTGAAGCAAGGTACATCCTTTCATAAACAACAGTACCACGATCAAGCAAGGTGCGTTCTTTCCTCAACAACAGCAACACTATCAGCCAAGGTAGTTCTGTCCTCAACAACAGTCACACGATCAAGCAAGGTGCGCCCTTTCCTCAACAACAGCAACACTATCATCCAAGGTAGTTCTGTCCTAAACATCAGTAATACTACCAAGTAAGGGACGTTCTGTCCTAAACAACAGTAACACTATCAAGCAAGGTACATCCTTTCATAAACAACAGTACAACGATCAAGCAAGGTGCGTTCTTTCCTCAACAACAGCAACACTATCAAGCAAGGTAGTTCTGTCCTAAACATCAGTAATACTACCAAGTAAGGGACGTTCTGTCCTAAACAACAGTAACACTGTGAAGCAAGGTACATCCTTTCATAAATAACAGTACAACGATCAAGCAAGGTGCGTTCTTTCCTCAACAACAGCAACACTATCAAGCAAGGTAGTTCTGTCCTAAACATCAGTAATACTACCAAGTAAGGGACGTTCTGTCCTAAACAACAGTAACACTGTGAAGCAAGGTACATCCTTTCATAAATAACAGTACAACGATCAAGCAAGGTGCGTTCTTTCCTCAACAACAGCAACACTATCAAGCAAGGTAGTTCTGTCCTAAACATCAGTAATACTACCAAGCAAGGGACGTTCTGTCCTAAACAACAGTAACACTATCAAGCAAGGTACATCCTTTCATAAATAACAGTAACACTATCAAGCAAGGTGCGTTCTTTCCTCAACAACAGTAACACTATCAAGCAAGGTGTGTTCTTCCCAAAGCAACGGCAACACTATCAGCCAAGGTAGTTCTGTCCTAAACAACAGTAATACTATCAAGCAGGATGCATTCTTCTCAAAACAAGAGCAACACTATCAAGCAAGATGCATTCTTCCCAAATCAAGACCAACACTATTAAGCAAGATGCGTTCTTCCCAAAACAAAGAGCAACACTATCTAGCAAGATGCATTCTACCCAAAGCAAGAGCAAAACTATCACGCAATGTGCATTCTTACCAAAACAAGAGTAACACTATCAAGCAGGATGCATTCTTCCCAAAAACAAACGCAACACTATCAAGCAAGGTGCGTTCCTCAGAAACAAGAGCAAGATGCAATAGTGATACTATGAAGGAAGGTACGGTTCTCGTGAAAGAACATCAACACTAACAACCAAGGTACGGTCTTCGTGAAAGAACATCACCACTAACAACCAAGGCACGGTCTTCCAGTAACAACAGCAAGGACGGGGAAGTTTTGTTCAGTTGAATTTTTTTGGCCTGCGGTGTGTTCCATACCCAAAGCTGTATGTAAAGTACATACCACGGATCGTGGGAGTGGCCACATGACGCCGACACAAGTTCCATTTATTGACGTATCGAGCGACAAGTGGTTGAAGAGTCAGCTCGTCAGACTGAGACTCGTACACTGCTACGATGTGTGAAACCCAACCTTTTGTCCACCCTTGTGATATTGTTGATGTATTGATAACAACTGCAGAATATCCTTGAACCCACTTTTGTACAAATATAGAATTGCACTTTCTAGATTCGGATGCTCCTCATATGAATAAAATATTGAAACAGGAACATATTCCAAAATCCAAGAGGAAATGAGATTATGTAGAATGTGATTTACAACTAATAGAGGATGAGTACCATTTTGTTCTCATTTGTCCTTTTTATCAGAATTGCATACCTACATCCATCAATGTTTAAATTTCCAAATATATTTAAGTTTAATGAATGGATATATTCTATAGACATTAATGTACTGAATCCTTTGTCTGTATATATATTCCATGCAATGAATTTAAGACATGCAATATATATATATATTTGTGGATAGTGACTGGACATATTGATTTCTGCTTATATATATCCTAGGGCCTTTCAGTATTTCTGTGATAATGATTGATTGACAAAAGCTCAAGCACTGAATTACTTGTCGTAGACTTTCTCATGAAGAAGCTATGGTGCAATGTTTTAGAGCTAATTTGCTTTAACAGTAAACTGATGAACGTGGGAACATTTCATGTGTGTGTGAATTATATATTACGTCATTGATCACCACCAGCAAATGATGCAGTCAGTGAGTATGGTACAACCCACATTGTCCCAAATATTGATAATCGAACCAGGGGTCTTCTGCGTGAAAACACCTTAACCACTAGACTAATCACACTCTTTCAGTTGTGTAGATAATATTATGTGTGTGTTGTGTTAAAGCTGTTTAGATGGTGACTACTCTTAATTATGTTATATAGTCTGAAGATGCGTTGGTGCATATCGGTCTTGTTTGCTGTGCAGACTTCTTATACGTGTTCGACATACTTGGAATGCAGCCTCGTATTGATTTGTTGACTATATCTTCAAACTTGGGATTACAAACTAATAAAACTTTTTGCCTGTTTTAGAAGTTAAGAAAATTGGATTGACGCTCCTCTTTTTTCCGTACAATAAGGCTACATATTGGACCTTTACTCGAACTATCGATGTCATCACTGATTTTCAGTGATACATTCTCATCATAAGTTTCACCACTATTTTACCTTTTACTGTTTCGGCAGCTATTCGAAACAGATTGTATTCTGGAACTGATGTTTTATATTGAATAAACAGACAGCTCGCTATTCATTATACCGAAGGCGCCATCTGCCTATTGTATAAATATTAAGTACATGAAGTAGAGGTACATGTATTCATCCATAACAATAGATATCAAGAGTACACAGCTTTTCCCACATTTATAGCACAGATGGTGTATATTGACATACTTGTATGGTGGCATTAATGATATGAGTTATGAATATAGGCAAAAAGGAATCAAAGTGTGACCTGCGTTACATCCATATGATGGGGATAGGACAATTTAGGCAAGAAGAAGGTATCCCACTATCCATCAACCATGCTCCCCCTCCTGGCGGACCTGTTTCGTTTTGCATATGAATCGGAATTTCTGTTTGGATTGGTAAAATAAAAAAATGGAATTTGGCCAAGAGGTTTTATTTAAGCTTCAGGTAAATCGATATCGTTCAATAATTGATCAACAAGCTAATTCCCTTCCACTGATTTACTAACCTGAACGGACCCGTGAAGAATCCGGGGTAGAATAGGTCTTCAGCAACCCAATGGCATGCTTGCCGTAAAAGGCGACTATGCTTGTCGTAAAAGGCGACTAACGGGATTGGGTGGTCAGGCTCGCTGACTTGGTTGATGCATGCCATCGATCCCAATTGCGTGGATCGATGCTCATGCCATTAATCACTGGATTGTCTGGTCCAGACTCGATTATTTACAGACCGCCGTCATATGGCTGGAATATTGCTGAGTGCGGCGTTAAACAACAAACCAACCAACCAACTCACCTGAACGAGAAATAGAAGACACCAGTGGAACCGCCTCATCTGTTTCATATTTAGATCTAGATTTAGTGAAAGGAAAATCACCACAAGACATTTTGACAAAAGGTCTGACATTAACTTTGCCTTCATGTCAAGCAATATTCCTGCAGCTCCAGCCTTTGGTGTCTACATTTCGCAGTTTTTTGCGGTTCAAGCGAACATACTCTTTTAAAGAAGATTTTAATGAGCCTCGTACGGCTCTTCCTCAAAAGTTGTTTGACCAGGGTTACAACATTCAAGCATTGCAAGGTTTTCAAAACGTTTTATTAGGTATCTGGAGGATATTTCCGAACTTGACGTAATCAGTGCCAACAATGATGTCCGATGCAAAATGTTATTTTGAATTGTAGCATATGTTCCTGTGTTTGTTCGGGTGCACACTTGACTTGTGTTTGTTCAGGTGCACACTTGACTTGTGTTTGTGCTGACTGCCACCGACAGGGAAGTACACCCTCACACTTTCACAAATTGATAGCGATTCATACATGCTAATGATATGGTCGGATACGTACATCAATTAATATGTCTTATGATTATTGAATGGGTTTTGTTGCCTTTATTCAACATTCCATAACAGTGAATCGCGTATGTATTTCCATCCGTCCTTAATAATTTCCACCAATATTTTTATAACACAAAAGTGACTAGAAATATAGAAAGCACAACGACTACTTCGGATCCATATCATAGAATATGTGCAAATTTACAGCCAAATATATACTTACATATAATTGTTCTCCTTCAGTAATGTGTAGATCTGCACGATTGCGTTTGATATTAAATATGTCAGAACATGTAAGGTTATATTATAATATGTTCATTTCGCATTTAGTGTATTTGGTTGGTTGCGTGCCATAGTACCCCCGAAGGCGTGGGGCATTGCTCATGATATCGACCACTGGTCTGTCTGGTGTCAGAGCTGGACTACTGCTGACTGTGATGATTTGATACACGCGATACCAAACGTTTGCACTAAAACATCGCATACCATGTGGTCAATGAAATCCGGGTAAGAGTAGGTCTTCAGCAACCCATGCTTGTGTAAGAGGCGACTAACGGGATTGGGTGGTCAGAGTGGCTGACTTGGTTGATGCATGTTCTTTTTTCCCAGTTGCGTGGATCGGTGCTCATGATATCAATCATTGGATTGTCTGGTCCAGACTCGATTATTTACAAACCGTCGTCATATAGCTGGAATATTGCTGAGTGTGGCGTTGAACAAGCAAACAAACAAACAAACAAACAAGCAAATAAACAAATCAAGGGTTCATATTTTAACTCATAACTATAGTACTAAGATTGAAGAGGACCCCAGTACCTCAGTCTCGTCATCGATGTATATATATATATATATATATCATCACAGGTTGGACAGTGTCATCCCTATAACAGTTGACATCAACTGGTTGACAAAGGAGATGGCAGATAAACAACTTTTGTGATGATCTGAGCTGTTTTTCTTCCGTTACTTAAACCATACCTCTCGCCACGAATATTATGTCAGTCTTGTGTAGATAATTAAATGAAAAGTACGTTAACGTTTAGTAAGTACACATCAAATTGGGAACACAAAATCGATCATAATCGATCACGTATGGACAATTGCAGCCACATGGATAATGTAAATATGATCGATATCTCCCATGACGATTTCTGAAGCAATCTCTTATTATAGCTAAACTCTTCTAGTCTTGATATGCTGTTTGTCGTGTCAACCTAACGTAGAAAGTGCGACAATGCCCGTCATCACCAACTCCGCTCTACTTTTAACAATTTTATTACTTAGAGTCCCATCGAATGCTCAGGGTAGATCAAGTTCCATGGTACGTGTCCCTGAGTATGACAATATGCTTGATGAACGCTATAACATCACAGATCATGTTGGACTCTCCCACAGGGGGGACTGTGCCTCTTTGTGTCACAGGGACGTCCGCTGTGTCTCCTTCTCCTACAACATCCTCACCGGCAGATGTCTCCTCCACTCTGTACACTTCTACAACATGAATAGAGGGGTATCCCAACAGGGATGGCGCTACTTCAAGCTGTTTACGGGTAAGTTGAGAATTTACTTCAAGCTTTGAAATACCTGGACATGTCCTCCAAGGTGAAGACAGGTTAAGTCCACTTCAGCTACACGTTGACCACCGGTCAGTTCAAGTTGTGCTATACGCTGTGCACAGGTCAGAGCACTTCTACTACTAGTATGTCATCGTCCAAATTGCGTAGATCGATGCTCCTGGTGTCAATCACTGGCTTCTGGATAACTGATCCAGGCTCGATTAGTTACAGACCGCCGTCAAATAGCTAGAATAATACTCGTTAAACTAACGAAAACGTTTTACCTGTACACAGATCAGTTCCAATATGGTACACACGTCAGTCCACTTCTACTACAAGTTGTACACATGTCAATCCACTTCTACTACAAGTTGTACACATGTCTGTCCACTTCTACTACAAGTTGTACACATGTCTGTCCACTTCTACTGCAAGTTGTACACATGTCTGTCCACTTCTACTACAAGTTGTACACATGTCTGTCCACTTCTACTTCAAGTTGTACACATGTCTGTCCACTTCTACTACAAGTTGTACACACGTCAGTCCACTTCTACTACAAGTTGTACACATGTCAATCCACTTCTACTACAAGTTGTACACATGTCTGTCCACTTCTACTACAAGTTGTACACATGTCTGTCCACTTCTACTACAAGTTGTACACATGTCTGTCCACTTCTACTACAAGTTGTACACATGTCAGTCCACTTCTACTACAAGTTGTACACATGTCTGTCAACTTCTACTACAAGTTGTACACATGTCAGTCCACTTCTACTACAAGTTGTACTCATGTCTGTCCACTTCTACTACAAGTTGTACACATGTCTGTCCACTTCTACTACAAGTTGTACACATGTCTGTCCACTTCTACTACAAGTTGTACACATGTCTGTCCACTTCTACTACAAGTTGTACACATGTCTGTCCACTTCTACTACAAGTTGTACACATGTCTGTCCACTTCTACTACAAGTTGTACACATGTCAGTCCACTTCTACTACAAGTTGTACACATGTCTGTCCACTTCTACTACAAGTTGTACATATGTCTGTCCACTTCTACTGCAAGTTGTACACATGTCAGTCCACTTCTACTACAAGTTGTACACATGTCAGTCCACTTCTACTACAAGTTGTACACATGTCTGTCCACTTCTACTACAAGTTGTACACATGTCTGTCCACTTCTACTACAAGTTGTACACATGTCTGTCCACTTCTACTACAAGTTGTACACATGTCTGTCCACTTCTACTACAAGTTGTACACATGTCTGTCCACTTCTACTGCAAGTTGTACACATGTCTGTCCACTTCTACTGCAAGTTGTACACATGTCAGTCCACTTCTACTACAAGTTGTACACATGTCAGTCCACTTCTACTACAAGTTGTACACATGTCAGTCCACTTCTACTACAAGTTGTACACATGTCTGTCCACTTCTACTACAAGTTGTACACATGTCTGTCCACTTCTACTACAAGTTGTACACATGTCAGTCCACTTCTACTACAAGTTGTACACATGTCTGTCCACTTCTACTACAAGTTGTACACATGTCTGTCCACTTCTACTACAAGTTGTACACATGTCAGTCCACTTCTACTACAAGTTGTACACATGTCTGTCCACTTCTACTACAAGTTGTACACATGTCTGTCCACTTCTACTACAAGTTGTACACATGTCTGTCCACTTCTACTACAAGTTGCACACATGTCAATCCACTTCTACTACAAGTTGTACACATGTCAGTCCACTTCTACTACAAGTTGCACACATGTCAATCCACTTCTACTACAAGTTGTACACATGTCTGTCCACTTCTACTACAAGTTGTACACATGTCTGTCCACTTCTACTACAAGTTGTACACATGTCAGTCCACTTCTACTACAAGTTGTACACATGTCTGTCCACTTCTACTACAAGTTGTACTCATGTCAGTCCACTTCTACTACAAGTTGTACACATGTCTGTCCACACATGTCTGTCCACTTCTACTACAAGTTGTACACATGTCTGTCCACTTCTACTACAAGTTGTACACATGTCTGTCCCCTTCTACTACAAGTTGTACTCATGTCAGTCCACTTCTACTACAAGTTGTACACATGTCAGTCCACTTCTACTACAAGTTGTACACATGTCTGTCCACTTCTACTACAAGTTGTACACATGTCTGTCCACTTCTACTACAAGTTGTACACATGTCAGTCCACTTCTACTTCAAGTTGTACACATGTCTGTGCACTTCTACTACAAGTTGTACACATGTCAGTCCACTTCTACTTAAAGTTGTACTCATGTCAGTCCACTTCTACTACAAGTTGTACACATGTCTGTCCACTTCTACTACAAGTTGTACACATGTCTGTCCACACATGTCTGTCCACTTCTACTACAAGTTGTACTCATGTCTGTCCACTTCTACTACAAGTTGTACACATGTCAGTCCACTTCTACTACAAGTTGTACACATGTCTGTCCACTTCTACTTCAAGTTGTACACATGTCTGTCCACTTCTACTACAAGTTGTACACATGTCAGTCCACTTCTACTTCAAGTTGTACACATGTCTGTCCACTTCTACTACAAGTTGTACACATGTCTGTCCACTTCTACTACAAGTTGTACACATGTCAGTCCACTTCTACTACAAGTTGTACACATGTCAGTCCACTTCTACTACAAGTTGTACACATGTCTGTCCACTTCTACTACAAGTTGTACACATGTCTGTCCACTTCTACTACAAGTTGTACTCATGTCAGTCCACTTCTACTACAAGTTGTACACATGTCTGTCAACTTCTAGTACAAGTTGTACACATGTCTGTCCACTTCTACTACAAGTTGTACACATGTCAGTCCACTTCTACTACAAGTTGTACACATGTCAGTCCACTTCTACTTCAAGTTGTACACATGTCTGTCCACTTCTACTTCAAGTTGTACACATGTCTGTCAACTTCTACTACAAGTTGTACACATGTCAGTCCACTTCTACTTCAAGTTGTACACATGTCTGTCCACTTCTACTTCAAGTTGTACACACGTCTGTCCACTTCTACTACAAGTTGTACACACGTCTGTCCACTTCTACTTCAAGTTGTACACATGTCAGCCCACTTCTGCTACAAGTTGTTCATATATCAGCCCACTTCTGCTACACGTTGTACATTTAACAATGTACTGATTTATACACAACCATATTAGAGAATCTTTGTTAATCTATTTAAGCAGAAGCGAAATTAAAGTCCATTTACTTGTTCTAGTTTTAACATTGTTGCAAGGAGCTGAACTGTAAACATATGGCATATCTTATCGTATCTAGACCGGTGCCCTCCAGACTTCGTGTACAACAGGATAGGGAAGTTCTGTTTTCGACACGACCTGTTACAAGCATCTTGGTCCGAACATGCCCGGCGTTGCAACGACAGCGGAGGCTCGCTTTTGATCATTGACACACCCGAAAAACAAGCGGAAGTTGTTAAACAGATTGGCTGTTGTCAAGGTAAGTAACCAAGGAACCGGTATATATATATGTCAGTCCACTTCTACTATATATATATGTAAAAGAAATGAAAATAGAAAAGACACTCAACACCGTACCCAACTGGAAATCAATACATCTGCACCTGGCATAACGTCTTGCCATTGTACACTATTGTGTCACCATGCAGGTATTGATAGTCAACACTCGTCACTTTCCGTAACCTGAAAGGAGACCTCTCCCGGAGTGACATGAGTGATCCCTATAATTCCCTAAATTGTTTTATGATAAACTACATATGTCTCTCGTACACAACATATCTTAATTCTAATCTGTTCTCCTTCAGATATACAGAACATAAACCTCTATCTTGGAGGTTACAAGGCCGAGGGGACATGGCGCTGGGTTGATGGAAGGGAGATAACTCCAACGGTCTGGTACAATTCCACTGTCAACAAACAAACGGGGAACATTGCTATTTCGAGGAAGTTTCAGTACATGTGGGCTGTGAGAACTTCAAATAGACGTGCCTTATGTGAAGTAGTGAATGTATCATTCTAACCCCTGTATACATATAACTAAACGTAAAGGTAGAAGTGAATCCTGTCTATGTTATAAACGGACGGGAGGGGGGGGGGGGGGGGGGGGGGGGGCAGTCATCTGAGGCGCTGCAATTCGCTGAACAGAGTTGCGTCCCTTGTGCACGCCAGAAACCTATGATCGTGGGTTCGATTCTCTTTTCGGCCCGATTATGTTTATGGGTTTGTTAGCACAATACCTTGCTCGTTAGCTTCACAAGAGTTACTGGTTGTTTTTTAAATATTAGCTTGATGACGTCATTGATCTGCGTCTGCGACGCCATGTTTGTTAAATGAAAAAGAATTAAGTTGAAGCCTATAATAGAACTGGTTTGTTTATATTATATATTCAAGTATTTATTCGCATCCACCATACTCACACTCTTGCCCCAATATGCCTAGCTTACATTCACACTGATTTTTTTAGCCTGGGCTCAAATCACCCTTCTTCTAGGCTCAAAACACTCACTCTTAAATCAGTCCCCTATATTGACATTATATTCACCAATGGAATAGCTAGAAGATACCACAGAATGCCTTAGCTGCTGATACAGTGTTTGTACCATGTATCATACTAGTAGCCACAGAGCATTAGACAAAAATAACAACCTGGAAAAACATAGTAGAAAGCTGACATTTTCTTGAGATCTTCTGAAAGTCACACTGATGCAACTGGTGACATTTTCAAAATGGCTGCCATTTCCAGGATGGCCGCCATTATTTTTGAAAATGATATACCATTTCGTAGTTGTATATATTCATGATATCATGCAATATATCAAATGAAAGCTCTACTTATGATATTTGTAACACTTCTGGTTCAGCAATGTGCAATGATTAGAAGAACTAGTGTCAGCATTTAAAGAATCATTAAACAAATATGTTTACGTTTAAGGGTAAGGTTGATTTAAAATCTTTATTACTCACTGTTTTACTTAAATTTGTATTTAAAAAAAATTGAAATAAAGTGCACATATTATCTTTGTTTTCCAGTAGTCATTGTTTAATTTTGTAAATATATTAAATAAATGTTGGTTTGAATATTTGAAGTGTCTGTCATTCAAAGTTTCATCCGGCGCACTGTGAATTGGAGTATAAATGAGGTATAATTAAAGGTATATATGAACTCAACAATATTATTCATGAGGATTACGTGTGATAAAGGATAGCTCAAAAATAGAATCATATTTTCTTCACGAGTTTGTCAAACAACCAACCTCTTTATTTGTAAAAGGCATCACAGGAAAAGCACAAAGAATGTCCTGGCAAGTTTGCTCAAGTCTGAAGTCAATGTACACAATCTTATGGCCTTTGTTAGTCACTTATCACGTGACTTTATGACGTCATGGCACGTCTGTCTATGACGCCATCTATTTTGAATGAATGAAGTTGAAGCTTATTATCTTTCTGGTCTGCTTCACTGTTCTGTCTGTCTGCTTGTATGTCTGTCCATCAGCACGAGATATATTACTCCCGTTCCCTGAGGTTCTTTGAGAGTATGTTTGAAACATAAAATTGTTGATAAATGTTGATTAAGGTTGTAAGTAATGTAAGATAAACACTTCCCACCTCACAGTACACAGAATCAACATATTGTCACCTCTTCTTACACTAAGGCCATTGGATAATTGGTTGTAAATATAATTATATTATCAACGGTGCTATAACTTTGCGAAAACCAGCCTGTGATTCTTCATTTTTTATCCCATACGCATTTGACCAGGACCCAAGTCTTATTGAGAAATGTGTCTTATTTACTATGTGCACTTAACAGTGGTATTTGGAGCTTGTTTGTCCCCTACAAATGAAGAGGACTCATAACTGCTATGTTCCACGAGGATGGAAAATGTTCTTGTCTCAATGTTAAAAGTAATTTAAAATAAGGTATTATTACATCAGATGATAGCTTGAAGAACTCATCAATATTATGTTAAGGTACATAGGGCAATAACAAGTCATGGGGAAATACCACGTTGCCAAGATGCTGTGGACTTTGGAGAATTTACTGTTTGTTTTGTATAGAATACACTTTAAGAACAATGACAATATTAGCCAAACAGCCTCAATTTATTTGGTCTGCCATACAATAACAAAATTGTTCAGCTTGTATAAATATTAACTGTATAACGTCCAATGGATTAGTTCATAATTACATACGGTTCTATTACAACTTTTTATGAAGAACACACCATGAAAGTGAGAAAGGATTAATAAAAAGAAATCTTGAGAATGTATTGACAAATTTCGCGTTCACTGAACATTTATGGCATTCAGTCACACTAAGTAAATCAATCCACAGAAAGACTCTATAACATAAGTGGATGGATGCGACAACAGTATCCGCAGTATCTCCGTGTGAAGCACTTCATCAAGAGATGTCACGATCCACCCTGTCTACACTATTCATACCACATAGCGACCAAACGCCGTTTCTATACACTGGCTTTATTGCGAAAGGTTGAACGACAGTACTCAACAATGACTTCGTAATCACCCTGAAAATCCATGAATTCTAACTTTTGATGAGAATTTGTTCATAAACTGATTAACACCCTTTGAATAGGCCAGTTTAACGTACATAACATGCTGTAAACAGATCAGTTCCGCTTCTGTTACAAGGAACATGCAGTTCACTTTCACTTCAATTACAAGAAAAAACGTGATCCAATCACAATTTCATTTAATTCTAATTAATCAACTCTTTCAAAATACAACGAAACCACTAATGCATCACACGCAAACACCTAAACATCATTAACTGAGGAGACCATTGTCTCCAATAAACATGGAAGCCTCTCATGGCGCCAACAGTCTGAAATAACGTCTTTGATAGGCATTTAGAAGTTGGAGTACTAAGTAAGGATAAGAATTTATGGATGGACAACTTCTTTATTACAATTAAGAGCGAGGTTTCGGTGTAGGCTCTAAGAGAGAGAGAAAGAGAGAGAGAAAGAGAGAGATGGTATGGTCCAGGAGGAATGTCACTATGGTGCCAAACAAACGCATCGCAACAAATTTTAGTCTTCAAATTGTGATTAATGATACATACTACGGTAAGAATAATACAGTGAAGTCACCCTCGGTGAATACAGTTCGATCTACCCTCTGTATCTGGTATTGAACGCAGTTGGGTAAACGACTATTACTGAAGATGTTGACCTACTGCACACAAGGAGGAGTAGGATTAGGGTTTAAGTTAGGGAGGCATTGTTCAACACAGTAGAACACAAAGAAGACACACCAGTTTCAGTGTCCACTCGATCCGCGCGCAGTTTGAGGCTGGGGACCATATTGAAGCAGATTGCCACGCAGTAGGGGTGTGGCCTACTTGCTATTATCATACACCTGTATGGGACTGTTGGATCTGTTGAATTCCAGTTGGGACATTAGTGCGGTCCATCTTTTCCTATGTTGCTATATCAAGCTTTGGGACAAACGTGAACTGATACAAGTTAAAATTGATCTTCAGTTGTTTGGAATTGGGTGCAAAGCCGACGTGACAATGAACGGAGGGAATGAGTGATCGGTGTCTAGCCGGTTGAGCCACATTTCAAAAATGGCTATTGCCGAATGCGCCACATTTTCAGCTGTGTGCATTTCACCCACTCTAGCCGGTAATTAATTAATCAGATTACCGATACCTTTAAATGAGTGTCCCACATTTAAATTTTCGTAAGTGCAAACATTGTCATTGTTTTAGATGTGCTACACAACAATTCATTACACAATCGGGGGCGGTCGGGTAGCCTAGTGGTTAAAGCGTTGGCTCGTCACGCCGAGGACCCGGGTTCGATTCCCGACATGGGTACAATGTGTGAAGCCCATTTCTGGTGTCCCCCGCCGTGATATTGCTGGAATATTGCTAAAAGCGGCGTAAAACCATACTCACTCATTCATTACACAATCGTTACCTGTAATGTGACAATGTAATATGACCTGTCATGATGTCCATCAATGTAATGTTTTGATGAATATATTATCCCTGTTATGATCTGAATAAGAAATGAGAAAACAAGTCTTGTTTTTTTAAATACGGTAACCTGTTAGAATCACAAAGCATGTTTTGACAGCATAGCCACGACAGCCACATTCCACCATCACAACCGTAACCATTGCCCCGCGAGCCACATCAATTTTGGCTATCTATTTTCGAAATGTGGCTTAGGCGGACTCCAACCGAGTGATCTGTCTCTGTCTCTTTCAAGATAACAATGAATGTCAGAAACAATTTATATATAGTTTTGTTTATATGGAAATGCTGAATATAAACCACCACATCAATATCAAAGTGAGTCGATATTCACCATAATGGTTTGTTTATAAGCCATGTAGTCATAAGTGTTGAAACAACTGTAAAATCAATCAAAACTGACTTTGTTAATTATACCAATCGATAATGTTGATGCTGTAGATAACACTAGTTGTGATTTAAGAACAGGTTATTAAGTTTGTTACAAGGCCTCTGAAGAGACAGAGTTTAAATGTTCGACATGATCCAAATGTGTCTTCGTGTGGCAGTAACATGTTTTTGCTTTGTCTCGAGTGTTCAAGGTGGTACAAGTCGAATGGTTCGAGTTGTTAATTATGACAATATGCTTGATGAACGCTATAACATCAGAGATCATGGTGGACTCTCCCACAGGGGGGACTGTGCCTCTTTGTGTCACAGGGACGTCCGCTGTGTCTCCTTCTCCTACAACATCCTCACCGGCAGATGTCTCCTCCACTCTGTACACTTCTACGACATGAATAGAGGGGTATCACAACAGGGATGGCGCTACTTCAAGCTGTTTACGGGTGAGCTAAACCTTACTTGAAGAATAACAGTTAAGTTTTATTTCTATTACTGACTGCAAACACGACAGTTAAGCTTTAACATTGACCTCCATGCATATATTTTCGAGTCGCTGCGACTGTCGTAACACCTATACATTAACGTGAGTTTGGTTTAACCCTCATTTGAACAGTATTTCAGTCATATCACGGCGCGTCAGTTTGGTGTGGAAGGAAAGTGATGCAGGTCTCAGAAGTTTGGTAAAAC